TTGTTAGCCATAAAGGAGTCGATTCCCTTCTTTACGTTTACGTGTCATAATGGCAAAGTTGCATAAGATGTAAGTCGGTCGGAAATGCACCGAGTGAATAGTGTTCAAGGTTCATTTCCGCCTCTACATGATCACAATTGTCTCAGTCTAAAAAAAAACCTTCTCCACGGTATGCTAATTTTATATTATGAAAAACATCCCATGGAACGCAAATTGGTCGCAATTTAACACTCGAAACGTAGCGGTGGGTTTCTTCTTGTATTCAAATGTCATTTCAAAATTAGCTAGCTTTCTTTTTGTATTAAAATCTTCACTTTAAGCCCCGTTTTCTCGTGAAGAAAGGGGTTTAAGTGCCCGTTGTAGTTTGTATTTTCGGTCCTAAAGGACCCCTGGTCGTCCTTTTTATCAGTCTTGGTTATAATTCAATAATAAATTTTCTATAGAAATAGTTAGTTGGCTTAATAGACCGTATTGGCTTTATTAAAGGCACCCACAGTTTTATGTGATTTTTAAACGGTATTTACTTGTATCTGAACATTTGTCATTTTGTCATATTTTTATGTTCAGTTCTTGTTTAGAAAACGATGTTATTATGATCAGTATAGTGAATCGTGTCTCGACACAGCTTGCCCAAATCTAATGATCCCTTTCAATACAAAATTACTCTTTTTGGGGATCTAGAAAAAGGTGCGTTTTGACGTTGATATCGTTTCAGATTGAAGCTACCATTTTTTTTAAATATTTTAACGATCCAATTCAATTTTTTTTTTTCATTTATAGGAAAAATCTATTTCGATTATTCCAAAAGTTCTAGAATTGGTTAATAAATGTGAATATTATTTGACGTCCAAGTCCATTGTTACACTATATCGACATGGACGCAACGAATGTAAAACGCAAAACATGAACTGGGGTTTAATTTTGCCAGAATAGTGGCAATTGTTTATTCATTCCAATTCAAACTGTTGAGGGATCATTTACTTCTAGAGCCCGTAGAACACTGGGTGATGGTTCATTGTTCCGTCCGACCGACTCGATATAATTAAGTCCCAGCGATCTACATCACTGAAATCTAAAGTTAACTATACCAGGACCCAACCCTGGACTTTCAAGTCAACTCACTGAGCTACAGTAAGTTGAAAAATGATTTTCCAGCGAAAATCATTTCTTAAAAGAACAAAACCAAATAGGCCAATGTGTTGATGTCCTTTTTTCGGAAAAAGATGAAATTTCAAAGCAAAGGTTCTATCTTTGGGCATCTATTTTAACTATAAGGAGGTAACGCCCATTTAAATACATTCGAATGTATATTACCATATAATTAAAGTGTGCAAGAGTCTGCCGTTTAAGCCTAAGGCCCGACAATACCAAAAGTCCTTATCCTAATATCGTCTATTCTTAAAGATACACGCCCATTTTTACAACTCCTTAACGATTTAAATAATCTTTAAATACAATTCAGAAGCCTTATTGAAAAGTAATGTTTCTTTAAACGATTTGAGTTTAAATTTTCAAGTGTATTATGTAATGTTGAAGTTTGTGTTTACGAAATAAAAGACGAAATAAAAATAAGTAATCAGTCGTAAACTATCGAGATTTGAAAATGCTGCATTCGCACCTGCCTGGTAATATGTAATCACTTCCCGGAAACTGGTGGTGTATGTAAAAGAATTTAATGACTTGTTTGTGTACGGATGTACATGTGTTTCAATGTATAAAAAGGACATCAAACCACGGCCAGCGCTTTTGAAGGGTAGCTGATTGGAAAGAATTAAGTAAGTCGCAGTAAGCGAACTCTGAAAGCAGAGGGCATTCTGAGACTTGCAAAAGGATGACTGCATTTTCCTCTTTCACAATCTCACAAAAATACTTGATCACCATGGTTCATAAATTAAATTAACGCCAGTCCATCTGGGTAATTTATGTAATCTATCGTAGCCTACAAATAACAGACGACATGACACAGCGTTCTCTGATCTCCTGGGACCGGAAGTTGTTCTAAATGACGTCATTTGTCATGTCAGTCAGTTATACAACTAAACATATCTTGTAGTTGGTAGATGTCACTCAGATTTGGAATTCTTTACATTTTGAAGGCAAACCGAAAGTCCCACGAGGACAACTTATTTTAATTTTGTAAAGCTTCGTTAAATGACCATCGATTAAGGAGACAGTAGGCCTATATGTCAATTTACAGGGAATATTACAAAGCAAACTCGCAAAGCAGGATTGGAAATAAGGTTAAGACCAGTTTTTGCAAATCGTGCTGTTTTATTTATTTAAAACCAAATAAAACCAGGGTTATTCCTTGACCATACAATAATGGAAAGACCAAAATTTATTTCATGTTATCAAAACCCCTATTCATGTTGAACGCTCGGAGAAATGATTAACATGTATCCTTTTTTCTGTTTTAGGGGACCGTAGTAGCTCAATGAACTAGGCGTATGTTCGCTAACCAGGGTTTGATTGCTGGCATAAGTCGGTAGAATACATTAAGATTATTTATGGAAAAACAGTCTTGTCGTTCGTACTGGATAATAAAAAAAATGTAAAAATATTCCTTCGAAAAGTATGACATAAGACTCCATTCCTGCGTTACTCAAATCCCAAGATGCAACGTAATTAATGACGTCACATGTGACACCTCAGTCAGTGTAATCATCACCTGTTATTTAATTAATAAAAGTAATTTGATATTAATTGGATATGCCAGTATTTAATGTGTTTAAGACTGTACTGTCTAAACAGTTAGATAAGATTATTGAGCTCTCGACGCAGCGGGGGTTTATCGTGTTTCAAATTGGAATCGTGACTTGTTTTAACAGTGGCAATAGGAAATGGAATCAACTCAATTGCATTTTAAGTATTAAAATGCAAGTGCTATTTTCTGCCTCTTAATTAGGCTATTGAAGGCAGACAACGTCATGCACTGTGCAATAAGATAAAGTTTTTCAGACCAGCAAGTAGAAATGTCCGTATTTCTTATGTAGCAAAAATGGTTGTTCTTGTCCAATCCAAGCGAAAAAATGTGAAAGATCTTTCAAGTCTGTTCAGCCTACAATAATTGGCTTCAATGGTATTAATGATAGTAACGTCATAATCTGGTAAATGTTGGCGGAAATGGAGTGTAAACTTACATCTTGGAAGAAAAATTTTAATGGTGCTAACAAAAGCATTACTTGTCCTCAATAAAAAAAAATAAATATCTTGGAAGAATGTTTCGAATTCCTTCAACATTTTTTGGGGCCGGAATTTTTTCCGCTGCATCTAATAGGTCTAATAAAATATGCGAATGCATGTCAACAAATTATATGGACGTTGTCCTTAACAAAAACGTCTACATAGGATCACATTAATTGGAGACTGCACCAAGAAAACTATGATAAATATCTTCAACAGAGGTTTGATCTGACATTGATGGCTTATGAATATTTAATCAGCTAATTATTTGTTTATATATCATACTTACTGTGTATCTGTCATCATTTTCACTGTCAGACGTCGACTTGTCACTATTAATTATCTCCCTTGGGAGTCAGCAGACGACGGACTTGTTCACCTGACGAATAAATATTAATGTGCACAATTATGCACGTTTTAATAATGACCACTATTAATGCGAAAATTCCTCGGATGTGCGGATGGGATATCGGCACATAAAATGTCACATTTTTGTGGGAGTTGCTCTGACATTAAGATCGCCTGTTTTTTGCAAATTTTGAATGCAATAAATTTTGGTATCTACATAGGCCCGGCTAAGTTAAACCACCAATGACTAGGCTACACAAAGATATTGCCAAATGCCTTCGTGTACCCCCACTAGTACCACCACTGGTAGCGCAGCATTCAACGGCTATCCAGTTCTATATCATTATATGTAGTTACTTACTAAATCACTAATAACTAATGAAATCTTTTCATTTTAAGCATCCATGTTATTGATAATGTAGCTCAACAACTGAAATTCGTGGGCCAAGGGGAGTAACTCCATTAAAAGTAGTCGATTTTCTGCCTTCCAATTTTATACTAATTTTCAACAAATGTTTTTATAATCACTCATACAGAAAGTGGGATATATATTATATTTTATTCATACAAATTCACGTATTTTTTTAAGGCTTTCTAACATACGAGTACCTTTTGTGGCATGTTACGTTATATAAAGATGGTTACGTTATTGATTTCATAATATTTTGGTTACGCATTATGCTCACGTGACAAACACCACTTCCTGCAAGGTGGAGTGTAATAATTTCTACATTTTTATACACTATTTTTAAAATAGACTATTTTCTTTTACAAGATTTCTCGACTTCTAGATTCTTATCTTCTTTTAGGTTAAATTTTTATCCCTCCATTTATCTTGAAATGTAACGAAATCAATTTCTAAACAGAAACTAACATATCTTTTAAAAGTTTTGTGATGTTATCGGGTTTGTTGGTGCTCTTTTTATTAATCAATATGGCGATTGTTTAATCAAATTCCACGTACACCTAAACAATAGCTTTATCTTACTTATTCTTTTAAATAGTATTTGAATAAATACTTAAATCTGATTTTTGGTTTAAGTTGTCATCACGAATCGGATCGTTTGTTTAGGAAAATTGAAGTCAACAACTACAGCATTGTCCGACCTATTCGGACCAAAGCAAGGTTATTTCATCCCTGATTGCCCGAGGTAACGCGGACTTTATACTCTAGGCCTATTCAAGAAAGACATATCTTAATGAGAACCGGTTTTTTACTGTCGTCAACTATTAATTTGTCAGAGGCTAAAGCATTTACTGGCATTGGCATGCATATTTATAGGCTAACCAGGGCAGGGCTGATTCATCATTGGAAACAGGCCTAAGGGTCAAGAGTTTATTTCAAAATGATTTGAATAAAGAGAAGAATGTGTTTGCTAAATCTCAATTATAACTTCAAAATCAAAATTTGTCAACAAATAATGAAACATATTTTACAGAATATATACAAGAAAATCTGAGTTGCCAAAATGGCAGAAGCTGATGAAAGAAGTGAGCTTATGGCAATAAAAGAAGAGTATATGAAACTTCAGGACCATTTAGCAGATGCTGAACTAAGATACCATACCTTGCTCAATATTAAGGAAGAAGAAAACAAAGTCAATATAGACTATGATAGAAACTTACATAAATTTGTTTCCAAATTGTTCAACAAATCTAATTATAGGTAATATTTATAGCCATTATTTAGACTAAACTGCTTCTTTCAGGCCCCTTGATAGGTTGCATTCTTCCCCCCTTTTCAATCCTTACTATTTTGTGATTTTCTCTTGGATTCTTTTTTTTGATGTCTGAGACTATAGCCTGATTGAATAGAAAGACTTAAAAATTGTCTAAAAAGCTACAAAGTGTCTCATTTCAAATTTCAAAATATACCCCAAGGCACTTATTTAGCCAATCTGTAATATGTTAAATTATGTCTGGGTTATGGAATTTGATATTATTTATTTTATTTTTTTAAGATGGGTTCCCTTTTTTTTTATTTATGAAAATGAAAATGCTAATACTTTTATGAATAGAAAGTAGAGGTGTTCTAATGACTTTGAAAAATACCAGTTTGTCTCACATGTCCATAATTAATTTGTAATTAGCTAAATTAGAAGAGAATTACATGTACCAGCAGAATTCCAATGAGTGACTGATCAAGAAAGGTCAAAAAGTCTTTTTTCGTTTATTCAGACTGTACATACATGGACATTTATGATTGGTTAAAACTCTTAATTATATGCAATAACAAGAACATAATGATATGATTAAGAATACATGATAATTCATTAAAAACACCAATTTGTCAAATAGTTTGCTTAATTTGACACTAAATAAATAAGATAACCCATCTTTAAATTACAGTCTTGAAAATTTGAATATCATGTAAACTGTACTTATCCTGAATTCAATACTATGTGAAACTCCCCAAGGTTTGATACAAGGTGATTCTAGTTCAATGCAGAATTGATTTTGATTTTAAACTATATTTGATATTTCAGTGACATAGTTATTTTATTAGAAGATGGTCATCTTATATCAGCACATAAAGTTATTTTAGCTTCTAGAAGTCAAGATTGGGGTGTAGAAGATTTTCTACTTACGGATCATATTGATTTATCAGGTATTATTTCTGAAATTTAAAACATTAAATCTATATAGGCTTCTCAGTGACAGCTTTAAAGAGTGTTAGGCCTGATCCCTAAATACTAAAGTATAAGAAAATGAGCTTGCTGGTTCACTTGTTTTTTAAATATTAAATGAATCCTATTGCCCATGATTTTCTTATTTACAACATATCCTTTAGCCCATGATTTGCTATACATTTTAGATATATCCTATTGCCCATGATTTGCTTACATTTTAGATATAAAATATCCTATTGCCCATGATTTGCTATACATTACAGATATAAAATATCCTATAGCCCATGATTTGCTATACATTACAGATATAAAATATCCTATAGCCCATGATTTGCTATACATTACAGATATAAAATATCCCATAGCCCATGATTTGCTATACATTTTAGGTATAAGATATCCTATTGCCCATGATTTGCTATACATTACAGATATAAAGTATCCTATTGCCCATGATTTGCTATACATTACAGATATAAAGTATCCTATTGCCCATGATTTGCTATACATTTTAGATATAAAGTGTCCTATTGCCCATGATTTGCTATACATTACAGATATAAAGTATCCTATTGCCCATGATTTGCTATACATTTTAGATATAAAGTATCCTATTGCCCATGATTTGGTATACATTACAGATATAAAGTATCCTATTGCCCATGATTTGCTATACATTACAGATATAAAGTATCCTATTGCCCATGATTTGCTATACATTTTAGATATAAAGTATCCTATTGCCCATGATTTGCTATACATTACAGATATATAGTATCCTATTGCCCATGATTTTCTATACATTTTAGATATAAAGTGTCCTACAGCCCATGATTTGCTATTCATTTAAGATATAAAGTATCCTATTGCCCATGATTTGCTATACATTAGAAATATATAGTATCCTATTGCCCATGATTTTCTATATATTTTAGATATAAAGTGTCCTACAGCCCATGATTTGCTATTCATTTTAGATATAAAGTATCCTATTGCCCATGATTTGCTATACATTTTAGATATAAGGTATCCTACAGCCCATGATTTGCTATGCATTTTAGATATGAAGTATCCTATTGCCCATGATTTGCTATACATTACAGATATAAAGTATCCTATTGCCCATGATTTGCTATACATTACAGATATAAAGTATCCTATTGCCCATGATTTGCTATACATTTTAGATATAAAGTGTCCTACAGCCCATGATTTGCTATGCATTTTAGATATAAAGTATCCTATTGCCCATGATTTGCTATACATTACAGATATGAAGTATCCTATAGCCCATGATGTTATTAAATGGGTATATACTGGTAATATTAAATTAAAAAAGACAGACTATGTTATAGAAATATTGAAATTAGCAGTTAGATTGAGACTAATAGCTCTTGTTACAATGTAAGTAATTCGCATTGGCTATATATGAATATCAATGGATGTTATATTTATTAATTTTTCGAGCAAAGAATTAAAATTCGAAGACATTGTCACATAACTGAATCAGCTCTGTCGTCTGGAATGAATTGGTACTTGGGCTCTGATTTTGGACTCAGAAAATTTGAAGAATTAAAGGCCCATAGAGCTCACTTCTGACAATTTTGATTCTGCCAAAAACCTATCAAAATCTAAAACTTTTTGATTTTGTACAAATAAAATGAATCAATCTCAGCTGAACAACAAGTTTTGCTGGGGCTTAATTCTCACTTGCTGGGACCCAGCCCTCACAGACCCCACCCTAACGATGGAACTGAATTATTTTAATCAATGTTTCCCATCACCAAAACGGATGGGGATTTACAACCAATCAAATTCAATAGCCAGTTTAGACTTTTTTCCCTTCTATGTCTTAATGTCAATTTTTTTTATTCTATTAGATGTGAAGAAGCCTTGATACCAAGGATTAATGAAGAAAATTGTAAGGAATTTCTTCAGTTAACTGTTCTTTTATCAACTGATTTATTAGAACTTCTTAAAGACCATTGTAACAATCTTATTGTATTTAAAGTAAGTAATTCTGCAATTTTTTTAGTGGGGGATATCTGAAGTAGAATTCTGATTCTGAAAAGTGATCTGGGTAGTTATATAAAGGTTCCTTGGGTTTCAAGATTAAAGTTTGGTTCTATCAGCTGGTTTTATATTTACAAAAGGAAGGAACAACCATTGTTATAAGGATATCTTTTCTACCAGCTGGTCCTTGATCCTACTGGATTATCCTTACGTATTTATAGCAGGTTTAACTGGAATAATGAGGAAGGATGTTGTGTTTGTTATTTTAACTATATCCCTCCAATATATATTTTTAGGAAGATGAAGAAGTTGAAGATGAAGAAGAAGTAGAAGAAGCTTTTCAGGAAGAAGATCATGTTGATGATAATGATGAATCTATGGACCAAGATGACAGCCAAGATAATGAAATAGAAACTTTAAAGTTTGATCCAGATGAAGCTGATGACTTAGTGTCTGCAAAGGACGAAGGAAGCATTGTGGAAAAAAAGGATACTCCAAAAGCCAAAAAAGTGAAAAAGTCACCTAGAAAGTCATCTTCAAAATCATCTTCTGGTACAAAATCACCCAAATCTCCAAGCCTCTCAACTTGTCCAGTTTGTAATGAGAAATTTCAAAACAGATCAGAAATGCGATTACACAAAGCAGCAGCTCATCCTGGAGACAAACCCTACAAATGTGAATTTTGTGACAAGAGCTTCAAAAAGAGATGCTCGTATACCATTCATATACGAACTCATACTGGAGAGAAACCATATATTTGCCCTCATTGTGGGCGTGGTTTCCATGACAGCAAATGCTGTCGTTCACACATTCTAACTCATGAGGGACACAAGCCTTATCAGTGCAATATATGCGGCAGATCATTCATCATGCGTGGAGTCCTTAACACACATATGAAGCAAAGGCATTTTAACACAGACTCAGAAAAAAAGAAAGAACGTCACATGTGCAGCATTTGTGGGAATTCCTTCACACAGAAGGGTCATTTGCAGACACATGAGAAAATCCATTTTGGTGTTAAGGCTCATCAGTGTAGCTTCTGTGGTAAAAGTTTTGTGGAAAAAAGTGCAATGACAAGGCATGTGAGAACACACACTGGTGAGAAACCTCACAAGTGTCACATTTGTGGAAATGCCTTCATTCAAAGTGTCCAGCTACGTAAGCATATGGTTAAACATGATAAACAAGCAGCTTTTCACAACCTGGGTCCTGCTAGAAATCCTTTACCCCCTCTCCCACTGCCTGTTAATTATTCATAAATCTGATTAAATTATGCGCATTTACAAGATCACAAAATCAAAATCTACAATAAACTATGCATTTATAAGGAACTAAGCATTAATTTTGATGCTTACAAACAAAGTTTCTTGAGTTCATCAAACATTTTTTTTAACGATTTTTTTGGAGAACCTTTTTTTTTTATCTCCAACCCTGGCTTAATGAGTTAGACATTTGCTTGCTAATTTGAAGGTCCAGGGTTTAATCCCGGCATAGGTCGAGATGATACCTTCTGATTTTTCAACCCAGTTTCACCCTGTCAATGATACAGGTAAGAGGGGCTGACATGGAAAAAGCATCAGATGGGACAATAAACCGAGGCCCTGTGTGCTACGGGCTGTGCAGGTTAAAGATCCCTCGACAGTTGGACATCAAAAAAAGAGCAAGCTAATACTGCTGTCCTGGCAAAATTTCCCTCATTGTACCCTGCATGGCGTTACCCATCTACATTAGAACTTAAAACTCCATTCAATTCATTTTCCAAGTCTGATATTTTGGAAATTTTAATAAAAAAAACTATTTTGGCATTAGAATCTTACTGTACTGATTTTATGTTAAGTCAGCAATAATTTAAAAAAGCTGACTATTTCTTTATATTTGAGCAAAGTTATATTGTACACATTCAAGTCCATTTCACTTGAAACAAAATTTTCATGATTTGATTTGTGCAAAATATCTGCTAGCTGTATGGGTAAGGTGCAAAATGACTGTTGTTTGTTGTCAGATATAATTGAAATAATGTTGTTAATGATTTTTTCTAATTGATTATGAATGATGTAGAATATCTGATATAATATTGTTTCACATTATGATAATAAAATATTAAATTTGACCTGTTTTCTTATGCACGACATATCTGTCAAAATAAAAGGAAGAATTCTTGCACAAATTGTGAATTAAACCATCGATTTTTTATAATTCTTAATTTTCTCACCCAATGGAGCAACGCCCTCCCCCACTCCACCCCCTGACCTCCCCGATAAAATTGATTTCCCCCTGAATAAATCCTGGCAACCGACCAATTACATTACTGCAACTAAACACCACACACCATTGCCCTTAATACAATTCCCCTGTGGCCCACACCAAATTATGATAAACTCGAAGGGTAGACAAAGCAGAAAAAATATTGCCCGGGTAAGATAGAGCCAGATCTGTCGGGCTACTCCGACCTATGTCGGGTTTGAACCCTGTACCTTCAGTCACCGCGACCTCCCTTATAAATTATAACTAAGGCAGAACATAATGTTATAAATGCATGTTCATTTAGTATCGTTATTGACATAATGTATTCTATTTTGTTAGTGCGACTCCTGTTTATTGAGCTGTTATACAACTGTTACACTTTCAATAAACGTTATTGTGTATTAATAGATTTTATAATTTACCAAATTCTACTTAGTCCGAATTATTGACTAATACAATATAATAATTTTATAATATAGGGGCGGTGAGTTTCAGGGGCGGTGAGTTTCAGCGGCAGGACAGCATGCTTTAGACATCTGATTTTAGGAAGTGAGGGGGTAGGGGGTCTTCTCTTGGATATTGGGTAGATTTCTTGTGCATAGGACCGATGTGCAAACGATCTTTCACCTACAAAGTAACGGAACTATCGTCACTACCGCCGCGAAATATCTAATTATTAGTTTGTACACGAACTGTATTGTAATCATGACAAAACGATAAGGGTAGTTCTCTTGAATTGTAAAACAAATATTCAATATAAAAAAAACAAAACCAAAGCACTAACGATCCGGAGCACATAACGAACCCCGAAATCCAAATGACACATTGGCGAACTCATATCAAAATTGCAGTCAGAATAATTCGCACTAATTCTAGAACCGAATGTGATGATATTCAATTTTACTATGTCAGTCAGTATCAAATATACTACAGAGGTAAGAATAAGCTATCTTTTTTATTGTTGATTTCCCGAATACAATTGACTTTATCATACGTGGACTTGATATCAACTGAAATATTATTTATAATACCCCCTCCCTTTTTGGTGCTAATGAGGATTTTTCTATTATTAATTTATAAGATAAACTTGTTTTTTTTTTTTTTTTTTTCTGTTAAAGAGTTCAGACCAAATTCCAAATTGTTGTTCTTTTTCAACACTCAAAGTTCCAAATCGTTATTGTTTTAAGTAGACTTAAGACTACCTTCATAAATTGTTATTATTTTCCGCAGACTATATTCCAGATTGTTATTATTTTCAGCAGACTACTATCCGAATTGTAATTGTTTGGCAGTTTACTTTACAAACTGTTATTTTGATGAGGAAACTGTGTTCCGTGTTGTTATTGTTTTCAGCAAACTACTTTGCAAATTGTTATTGTTTTCAGCAGACTACTTTGCGAATTGTTTTTTTTTTCAGCAGGCTACGTTCCAAATTGTTATTGTTTCCATCAGACTACGTTTCAAATTGTTATTGTTTTAAGCAGACTACCTTAATAAATTGTTATTGATTTCGGTGGACATTATTCCGAATTGTTATTGTTTTCAGCAGACTACGTTTCAAATTGTTATTGTTTCCAGCAGACTACGTTTCAAATTGTTATTGTTTTAAGCAGACTACCTTAATAAATTGTTATTGATTTCGGCAGACATTATTCCAAATTGTTATTGTTTTCAGAAGACTACGTTCCAAATAAATATTGTTTCTAGGAGACTACGTTCCAAAGTGTTATTGTTTCCAACAGACTACGTTTCAATTTGTTATTGTTTCCAACAGACTACGTTTCAATTTGTTATTGTTTCCAGCAGACTACTTTTCAATTTGTTATTGTTTTCAGCAGACTACTTTGCGAATTGTTATTTTTTTCAGCAGGACACGTTTCAAATTGGTATTGTTTTAAGCAGTAATTGATTTCGGTGGACATTATTTCTAATTGTTATTGTTTTCAGCAGACTACGTTTCAAATTGTTCAAGCAGACTACGATTCAAATTGTTATTGTTTTAAACAGACTACCTTGATGTTATTGATTTCGGCAGACATTATTCCGAATTGTTATTGTTTCCAGCAGACTACGGTCCAAATAAATATTGTTTCCAGGAGACTATGTTCCAAATTGTTATTGTTTCCACCAGACTACGTTTCAATTTGTTATTGTTTCCAGCCGACTACTTTCAAATTGTTATTGTTACCAGCAGACTACTTTTCAATTTGTCATTGTTCTCAGCAGACTACTTTTCAAATTGTTATTGTTTCCAGCAGTCTACTTTTCAATTTGTTATTGTTACCAGCAGACTACTTTTCAATTTGTTATTGTTTTCAGCAGACTACGTTTCAAATTGTTATTGTTTCCAGCAGACTATGTTCAAAATTGTTATTTTTTTAAGCAGACTACCTTAATAAATTGCTATTGATTTCGGCAAACATTATTCCGTATTATTATTGTTTCCAGCAGACTGCGATCCAAATTATTATTGTTTTCAGCAGACTGAGTTCCAAAAAAATAGTTTCCAGGAGACTACGTACCAAATTATTATTGTTTTCAGCAGACTGCGTTTCAAATTGTTATGGTTTTCAGCAGACTGCGTTCCAAATTGTTATTGTTTCCAGCAGACTTACGTTTCAAATTATTATGGTTTTCAGCAGACTACGTTTCAAATTGTTATTGTTTCCAGCAGACTACGTTTCAAATTATTGTTGTTTTCAGCAGACTACGTTTCAAATTGTTATTGTTTCCAGCAGACTACGTTTCAAATTATTATTGTTTTCAGCAGACTGCGTTTCAAATTGTTATTGTTTTCAGCAGACTACCTTATTAAATTGTTATTGTTTCCAGCAGACTACGTTTCAAATTGTTATTGTTTTCAGCAGACTACCTTATTAAATTGTTATTGTTTCCAGCAGACTACGTTTCAAATTATTATTGTTTTCAGCAGACTGCGTTTCAAATTGTTATTGTTTTCAGCAGACTACCTTATTAAATTGTTATTGTTTCCAGCAGACTACGTTTCAAATTTCTTTTCTTTTCAACGCACATCTCATATTTATATAATTTCTGTTTTAAAGTACATCATGAAGACGGTGATTAGTTTAATCGTAATATCAATGGTTTTGACAATGGTGTCGTCTTACTGTATGTTTGATGATTTTCCAACAGGTAACATAATTCATTTACCGTTACCATTCAGGTTATTCTTGCAATCTCTAGAAATGCTTGGAGCTGTTTTTGTTGGGATCTCTAAAACATTGACGTAATCGAATATTCCTCAAAATTCAGTAATTTCGTTCTGTTGCGTGATATTTAGGTTACTTACCATAATTTAAGTATTGCCCAATATCGCGCCATATTTTGCCTCTGATCTGTCGGATGGGCATACAATATTCACTGGTCCGTGGATGTCATGCACAACACAAATTAAACCGATCTTAGAATGTGCGTTGAAAAGCTGATACCCCAACAATTTGTTAAGAAGCTCAAATATTGTTTTCTTTTCAGGTTCAAATGAATGTATATTTGTCCCGAGGTCTTCAAAAGAGTAAGTCAAGTTTTCTTTTCCAAAAGCAAAACATTTTTGGGCATTTATTAGTCTATTGTAATACAGTGATCCATTCATGACTTGTTGCCTCTTTAAGATGGGTTTCCTTATTTTTTAGTTTAGAAAACTATTTGATAAATTTGTGAATTATTATGAATTCGTAACCATATCTTTATGTTCTTATTGCATATAAGAACAGCTTAATCGAGAAAAGCAAGAGTTTTCATCTGATTATTGATATATTAAATAACTTTTTCAGACCAAATTCAATAATAGTAAAGGGAGAAAAAAAGAAAATTGGTGATACATGTTGTCGATGTAGGATTGAACCCGATACTTCTCTTTCTTTAAGCTGTTGTACAGATGATTCGTAAGTAGCTATTACATTTGTTGCGGACTCCTGTCTATTGCCTGATCGATGTAAGGCTGGTAATAACTGTGCGGGTGGGGGCATGGATGTTTGACCGACTTTGCGCCCCCCCCCCCCCACTTTCAAATGTGTTATCATTTTTATACGCCCACATCTCTCTATGTGGACGTATATTGTCGGCACCCCTGTCCGTCCGTCGGTCCTTCCGTCCGTCAACATTTGCTTGTAAACGCTCTAAAAACTAGATTTTTTGATGGAATCAAATGAAATTCGGTTTGTGTATACAAATTCATAAAACGAAGATCAAGTTTGAATTTGAGCTATTTTCGACCGTTAGAAGCAGAGTTATTGTCCTTGCCCCAAAATCTTGAATATTTACCATCCGCATGCCGTGGTGGGCGTATATGGCTGTGGTCCACTATCTTATATAGTGAAAGGATGGTCTGTGAAATCCCCCTTCCTTCGAAAATTTATGGCCCCTGCTCGGCCTCTTCACCTGATGTTTCTTAGAGAACCCACAGCGTAGGTTCAGACCTGGTCGAGTTAATTTAGCTAGAAAATTGCAGAAAGGTTACAGACCATGCAGGGTTGATTTAGCTAGTAACTCTTTTTTGATTATAAAACGCTCCTATCTTTTAATTTCAAAATGGTGACATCTGGTAATTGGCGATTATCTATAATCTATTTCTTAAATACTTGTACGTTAATTGAAATAAACAATTTCTACTAATCACTAATTTCTATTTCAGATGTAATGGAGCCTAAGTTAGACCAAATGTGAAATTAACTTCTAATAAAGATTTTGATCAACCGCACTAGTTCTATTTAAAGCACATTAAGTGTTATAAGTGCTCTTGATCTCTCTTGTTGGTTTTTTAAAGCAAATCTGACGAATGGACAGCAACTTGAAACTGAGTTGCCGACTGATCCAGCACCCCGTCCCCTCCCCTTCGACATGGTGGGAAGCTTAGGCTAAGACTGATTCGGTCTTTATTAGAAGAAGGTACAATTCGTCCTCTTGCCATTAAATTATGTCCCTTTTTGTAAAACTGTACTTTGCGTCCACGATTGAAGCGAACAACCGCCGCAGCAAATCATTTGGGTGGTTCTTCTTGTGATGATTTGTCAATTAATTTATTCATCTATTTATTATTTAATTTATTCATTTATCATTCAATTTATTTATTTATTTATCATTCAATTTATTTATTTATTTATTTATTTATCATTCAATATATATATAAAAAAAATTCTTATTTAATTTTTTTATTTATTTATTTATTTATTTATTTATTTTGTTTATTTATGCTTTAGTAAAGCATGATAGTTTGATATGATAAACAAAAAGATAACACTTCAAGAGTTAGTTGCCCTTGATAAATTTCAGATAAGACAAGATAGGTATGTTTATGATAATGCGCATTTTTTTAAAGATATTTCTGTAACCATGCACAATCATCGACACAGAGGTGAAGTCAGTAGGCTGAATGATAACTGACTTCTTTTAATAACAATATGAAATCAAAGATCTATAATATTTCAGAAAGGTAAGGCTGATAGTTTTCATATAGTTTGACCAGTGGAATAGCCCAGTTGCGAGTTTGATTGTTGCCTGCTAGGTGGTTGGGGGCAGTGGCTTCGTATCCTCCACAACAGTCAAGGCAATAACAATTCTGATTCCTGTGTTAGCTTTCAACCCGTTATACCAGTTTATGACATTCTCAAATGCTATGTAAGTCTTTAGAATTAGCGAAAGCCATTTAGGTCAAATGATAACCACTGTTAACTATTGAAAACACGAGTAGATAAAATTCCAACGACGTTATGAATATATCGCTCGTTGAAAACTCTTTGGAATTCTAAAATACAGTCTGTGTACAGTGTAATGATTTACGCCATCAGATAAAGATAGTTGTTTAAATCATGCTATATCAATCCAGGAAGGTAAAGACGTTATCTATTTTTTTTAATTCAATGTCGTGATGGGAGGCAAATGAGACAATTTTTAGAAGTGTTCTTTCAATTACGTATTTTAAATCGTCTTGTACGAACTTCCTACAATGTTCATTTCGCCCCAGTGTACAGTCGGATAATATTCTCATAAAGGTACATAGAAATCCAGGATGCTTCAACATGAACGAATGGTTAACTTTCTAATACGATACCATAGGTATGTGGCTAAATTTACAGGTATTAATTATTATAAAGGGATTGTAAAGAGGTCTTTATTTATGTATATAGAGGATAGCATCAATTTGCACGTTTTCCAAAATCAATATGCGTATATGGGACATTGATATCATCGATTTGCACCATTACAATTTTCAATCAAGGTCCTTATATAAATAGCAACTTTTGCCAAAGTGACGTCATAAAACGCCCATTTTTATTGGCATTGCAATGTGTATTAAACATCCGGAGCGAATGTTCAAATTCCCGTTGAAAAATCATGGGATTGATGAATGATGCTAATAAGGTCACAAACTCGAATCATAAATAAATTTCATAATCTAAAGAATATTTCAGGATAGTATGAATACAAATTTTCTCAAATACTTTCGCTGAAGATTCCATTTTTGGCGATTCACTTGGTCGCATGAGAACCACAAGAATACAATTTTACACAAGGATATTGTTATGTCATTTGTTATTGCTAACTTTATTTGAAGACCTCTTTGAAATCGGCAATGCCAATTAGGCTACTAATTAAGATACTAACACGAGAGTTGTGATTTCTATGTAAACTTGACCCAATTTACGAATTTCATTCTTGATTTGGCTCAAATATCTTTGATCTTCTTGTAAAATGATTGTTAACAATGCATTATCTGATTTTGACAAAACTTAAATATTCATGCTTTCATGTACGTTGACGAGATCACGTCCAAGTTTCAAGTTCTCATTGTCGATAAGCGAACATATTAAATTTTAGTACGTTAGCGAAATTTAACATTGTTGGATAAGCGAACATATTCAATTTTAGTACCTTCGCGAATTGTTGTATAAGTGATGCTTAGCTGCGCTATAACTAGATTAATCATAGTAGAAACTATAAATATCACTTATATTTTTTCTTTATTTGGAAAAAGTAACGAGGCTTGCTTCGTCACTGCTAACTGAACTAATTAGCCCATAGATTTTCAACTACGGGGACATGTCGCCATCTCGGGAAATTTGAATTTTTTTCTTCGGGACATTTGTTGTGTCACAGGCCATGTAAAAAAAAATACAAATACAACATATCATATGACTACACGATACTTGGCTAACATTATCAAATTATTATCAGATTATTTGATACTACATACTTCCGAAGAGGTGCATGGTATCCAACCCTAGTTGTTATTTCGATATCTGGGGACATCGTGTTCATGCTGATACGATTTGGAAAACGCAAACAAAAAAAGATTGAAGGCCACTGACTTAGCCAAATGATGCACTTTCAAACTTCAAAATTTCGCGGGTGTAAATACCAGCTTTAAGATAACAAGAGTTGTTAAAAAGTTATTTCTCCCTTTGTACATATATTTATTACTTTTGCTAAAATGTAAAATCACTCAACCCTTTCATATACTTACATAACACACAATACTAAGACTGGACATTAAAGGCTTAATAGTTGTCACTATTGTCAGGTAACCACATGTTGCTATCAGTTATATTAAATTGCCCATATAAACAATGGTATATATAAAAACAGGTATAATTAAACTTTGACCGTTTGTCACATGTAAATATATGTAGATAATGGAGGCTAGTGTGTTATAATATTTAATGAGGATAATATTCATATCGTTTGATTTAACATGAAACCAGACGATATTGTCAACGAACGGACACATCTACTCAGTCATGATTCGCCGTCAGTTGCAAATGGGTAAGGATTTTCAATACACAATTAAAAATCAGTCTACAAAGGTCAACGATTCTGAATACACGATCCACCGTAAGTTTTCAATGGGTAAGGTTTCTAAATACGTGATACACCATCAGTTTCCAATGGGTAAGTATTCTTAATACTTGATTCCACCCCAGTTCCAATGGGTAATGATTCTTAATAATACGTGATACACCATCAGTTTTCAATAGGTAAAGATTCTAAATACTTGATTCCATCCCAGTTCCAATGGGTAATGATTCTTAATAATACTTGATACACCATCAGTTTTCAATACATGCAATGATTGTTATACACGATACACCATGGCTTCGAATGGGTAACGATTCTGAATAAATGTACACGATTTCATGCCATTTTCCAATGGGTAAGGATTGCCTAGGCAGGATACACTATCAGTTTCCAATGGATAAGAATTCTGAATACACGATCCACCGTAAATTTCCTATGGATAAGAATTCTGAATACACAATTCACTAGCAGTTTTCAATGGATAAGAATTCTTAATACACGATTCACTAGCAGTTTTCAATGGATAAGAATTCTTAATACATCATTCACCATCAGTTTTCAATGGATACGGATTCTTAATACACGATTCACTAGCAGTTTTCAATGGATAAGAATTCTTAATACATCATTCACCATCAGTTTCCAATGGATAAGGATTCTTAATACATCATTCACCATCAGTTTTCAATGGATAAGGATTCTTAATACGTGATTCACCATCAGTTTTCAATGGATAATGATTCTTAATACACGATTCACTATCAGTTTCCAATGGATAAGGATTCTTAATACATGATTTACCATCTATTTCCAATGGATAAGAATTCTTAATACATGACACACCTTTGGGTATGGATTCTTAATACACGATTTTCCGCCAGTATTCTGTTGGGAAGCAGTCATATCTTCTACCAATTGCCAAATTTCATGTTTGTTTTAACTATTTTTCAGGATAAACTATCAGCCCAGAATATTTGAGCCACCGGATAAAAAGAAAGCAAGATGGCGATCTATACGGTTGATGTATTTAACCATGTTCTTAAGCAGTGTAACGTTTACTATCAGTATGGCATCACTCTGGCCATATCTACAATTGGTACGTCATATCTCACCTGGGGAAATCCCAATATTGAAGAGCTGGTGTACAGCTAACCCATGGTTCACAACATATGTCGATATGGTATCTTACAGTTTCCATTGTCAGTATTGCAGAGCGGAAGAGATGACATGGAAAAACATCTTGTCGTTTCGATGAGAAAATAACCACCTTCGTTTGCTACCGGTTTGCCACGATTCAGGTTGAAAAATTCGAAAATTCACTACTGATCTCTGGTTATCCAGCTGACATCAAACTTTTTAGAGCTGAACCGTAGTCGCATGAAAAGCAACTCATAAAACATTGAAATAATGGTTGTTCTTTTAATTTCAGGTGGATCGTTCAGCTACTGCTGACTTTCTTGGCTGGGTAGTGGCTGCTTACAGTATAGGTCAATTGGTAGCGTCACCACTGTTTGGTTTCTGGGCTAACTATGGCAAATCAACAAGATGGCCTCTTGTTATCTCTATACTTATCAATATATTAGCAAATGTGATGTATGGTTATATAGAAAGTTTTGATGACCACAGAGATTATTATTTACTGTTATCAAGAGCTATGGTTGGATTTGGTGCTGGTCAGTCATTTCTTTTCCATCTCAGCTACCCACACAGTAGCAAATTCATGGGCATCTGTTCATTTTGTGTTTGTCAAACAATAGTTAAACAGGGCATAATTCAGAAAATTCGGGAAAGAAAATCCCTTAATAAAAACCGTAGCAAATAAATTTGACCAGAATCCAATCGAAATTATTGTCTTTATATCGAAAAATGGCATCTGGTTTAGCATCTAATTATGTGTTGCTATTGTATACTGGACTGAAAGTTCTTTTCGTAAACACCGAGTCCGCCATCCTATCATCCAAGATAGCTTTTCCTCACATAATATTCCAAATTTTGTCATATTCATTTGCGGAAAGTGTCTCAATGATGACGGTTTTGTAACTTCGCATGATATTGTTATCGACATGGCTTCGAATGGGTAACGATTCTGAATACACGATTTCATGCCATTTTCCAATGGGTAAGGACTGCCAATGCAGGATACACTATCAGTTTCCAATGGATAAGGATTCTGAATATAGGATTCACCAGCGGTTTTCATTTGCGGAAATTGTCTTAATGATGACGGTTTCGTAACTTCGCATGTTATTGTTATCCTAGGTAATGTAGCTGTAGTAAGGTCCTACGTAGCTGGTGCAACCAATCAAGAAGAAAGAACACCAGTAATGGCCAATATCAGTATATTTCAATCATCTGGTTTTATTCTTGGTCCAGGTAAATCCCCACTCGATTTCCAAATTATCTCGAACTTTTTATTCGGATTACTACACCATTCATCTATGATCTGGCAAAATTTGTATTGAAATCGTGTTCAGTTGAATTTTGAAGTTATAGCATCATACCTGTGCTAACCAATCAAAATCACTATTGAAAGAGTGCTTGGCAAATCATTTATTGAACAGATCACTTCATTGGTTGAATATTTTAATTACCTCGAACATGTGTTGCATTGCACTTACATCAGATAATTGATGGCAAATAAAATCACTTCACGATCAAAAAACTACAGATCTAGATCTGCCTGTATGAATTAGTGTTCTTTGGAAAAGGCAATAATTCCACCAAAGCCAAACAAAATACTCTTTAAATATTATTGCAACCAAATCTCCTTTTAATTAGTTGATCTAGTTGATATACCCCATCAAATCAGCTGAAATAATTTTGAAAAAGAAACCAATAATTTCGAAAACTATTTCGTTCTATTGTTAGGCTTCCAGGCAGCTCTTGTTCCACTAGGATATCCTGGACCAGTTCATATCGCTGGATTCCATTTTGATCTGTATACGGCCCCAGCATTCTTCAGTGCGATAGCTGGAATTATCAACATTCTTCTGTTACTAACAATATTTAAAGAAACCAGACTGGATGATGTCTCTTCATTCAGTGTTCAAGAAAATGGTAGGTGTTGTTTATTTTATCCAATCTTGTGAATTGAAATAGATTCAAGGCATTGCACGGGCTTGTGGAAGTCCAAAATAAGCTGACGTTTACCAGCCTCTGGTGGCTTTTTACGGACTTTTGATTGAGAATCTGTCATTACTCTAAGCATATACGATAGCATAAGAGCATGAGAAGATTCGTCAAATGTTGCCTTGACCTGTGCTTTCGTAATTTCAATTATACATGCATATTGTTCTTACGAGCACTTTCACCTAATTTGGAACATATAACAAAAACACATGACAATATTATGGAATATAACACACTTCTTTAATAACGTTGTGTGCCCAACCTTATTAAAGAAGTGTGTTATATTCCATAATATTGTCTTGTGTTTTTGTTATATGTGCTCCTCGCTTCTATATGTCGTTCAAATCTTATAATTTGGAACATTGCTTGAAAAAGAATGAATAGTTGTTATTAGAGAAAGACTGCTAACAAACACATTATGGTATTTATATCTAATGGAATTTTGAAGATGGTGTACTTTTTAGACTCTCGAGGTCCTTTTTATACGCCCACACCTCTCTATGTGGACGTATATTGTCGGCACCCCTGTCCGTCCGTCGGCCCGTCCGTCCGTCAACATTTGCTTGTAAACGCTCTAAAAACTAGATTTTTTGATGGAATCAAATGAAATTTGGTATGTGTATTCATATTCATAAAACGAAGAGTTCGAATTTGAGCTATTTTCGACCGTTAGAAGTAGAGTTATTGCCCGTGCCCCAAAATCTTGAATATTTACCATCCGCATGCCGTGGTGGGCGTATATGGCTATGGTCCACTATCTTTCTACCAATTTGTTTTCTCGGGACAATCGAAATGATTTTTTCTGGGTTTTTATTACAGAAACTGTAGAGTTAGAACCTGATTATCGACCAGATTATTTCGCTGTTATATCGTCTATAACTATATTTTTTGTTGTCTTATTTATATTTACGGTGTTTGAAACGTGAGTATACGTATATTGTGTAAAAGTTAGATCATATCAAGTAAAATAACCGAACGCTGGCTGTCATTCAACTGTCATCTGAAAGTCATTTGGCATTTGCTTCTTCTTTGAAATTCAGATGTAAAGTTGACCTCACAATTTTTTGTAGCATAGGTTCATTATAATTAATTTAACACAGAAATCTCCTCAAATTGGGTAATGTTAATAAAAACAATGATAATATTGTCTATGTGCTCTCAATGCAAGAAAAAATGGTTTAATTACGTACTCAAACATTCTGTAATGGGGACTTTGATGAAAGCATAAAATCACCAATATTCACACACATCAAAAGCTTTTATTGCTGGATTTAATACAATTTTTCAGAATTGGTTCACCACTACTCATGGATATGTATGGATGGAGTAAGTCTCAAGCTACCTTGTATCAAGGTATTATATTAGTTGGTGCTGGATGTGAAGCTATTGTAGTCTCTCTATTTGTCAAAGCTTTGGCTAAAAGGTAAGGCTCTTATGGATCTGTCTGACGTCGATTGAAAAACTCGACTACTAAGACAAATTTATATGCCCTTCTGAATTGAATCTGGATTTAACTCACCAATGTAGATTTTTATTATACGCCCACATCTCTCTACGTGGGCGTATATAGTCGGCACCCCTGTCGGTCCATCCATCCATCCGTCCGTCCGTCCGTCCGTCCGTCGGTCCGTCCGTCCGTCCGTCCGTCAACATTTGGTTGTAAACGCTCTAAAAACTAAATTTGATGGAATCAAGTGAAATTCAGTATGTGTATACATATTCATAAAACGAAGATCAAGTTCGAATTTCAGCTGTGATGAAACTTAAAATTTATGTATGGCTGTGGTCCACTATCTTTAAATTCGTTTTTAGGTGTTTGGATGGCAGGATTTGTTTTTCATTGTCTCAGTACGATGTTATCCGCTGCCTTGTTCCAAACATCCAAAAAGTGTTTTATATATTTGAAAATGAACTGTATGGATGAGTGAGCTAGACATCTGAACGATACTAAAGCATTAGCTCTTAAGTCTCCGACAACAGTGGACCATTCATCGATCTTGGACCAACCACATCGCATGATCATAATAATATTAAATACACAAATTGGGTGAATTTTATTACTAATCAAAAAGGGTTACTGTGATTGACAAACTTTTAATCCACTACGCTTGTAAAGATCACCATTGGTATAAGTATGAACTAAGATCTCGAACAGATCGGGAGTGTTCTTCTTTACGTTTAATCTGGATTCGATTTCATCCTTGCAATAACGACCATTGCATCTGGAAAAGTATATGGCTTTAATCATTAAGCAGAGGAGCTGACATAACTAATTTAAATGAAATGAGCGGAGTTTACGCCCTACTTTTCGCATTAATGGGCTAATGTAGACATCAACGCTATGCAGTGTGGATTGAGGGGAATTTTCCCAAGACAGCGGGCACAGCCTGTAGCACACGGCGACATAACTGATACATGTTTGCCCCCATGTTTGCCCTCGATTGTTAAAGAAGCTATGGCAATAATAACTATGACGACGATGATGATGATGATGATGATGATGATGATGATGATTGTTAAGATGATGACAATGATGATGATAATGTCATACATACCCAGTGAGACCACCGTCAAAACCTTGATGGTTCACATTAAAGAATGCTTGTGTTCCTTCTGCAAAGTATTCATCTTCATTGGAAAGAGCGTATGATTTGCCATAAATATGATGCTTAATGACGCTGGCGAATGCAGCTTTCAACTAAAACAGACGTACAAACAAAAACTATTGGGCGTTTCCAAGACTTCAAAAGTTCGAAGATCTTTTAGTCAAGTGTCAGCCGCCTCGCAGGCTGAAAAGGACACCCTGCTTCGTTTATTTCATGTCGAAGTGATAGGTCCAATCTTGCATTTGAAATATCGATGCCATAAGCTTGTAACAGACTCATTTTAGGGTACTCATTTCGGATACTCCGAACGCCAATACTTCTCTCTGAAATTTGGTCAGAATACTGATGTTTATGGAAGTGGATTAGCGTAATCAGTAGCTACATGTAAAATGGTACTCAACCCACAGGGCTGTGACGTGGCAACGAATCGAACTTTTGGTGAGAAAAGGAAAATGCTTAAGAAAATCTGTCCTTCCTTTCAAAGATTAACAATGCACAAACCCTTGTAAGATATGTTTGTTCAACACCATAAAATTTGATGGTGTGACCAAATTCGTGTACAAGAACATTGTAGTGATGTCGGTAAGGATCATGTGCTAGACACAATACATTGTCTTCGAGGACCAGAGCTCTGCTACCACCAGATCCAGCAACAGTATCCCATTTACGACCATCAAATGTACAAGATGGTGAACAACTTCCATCGCAACGACCTGGAAAGAAACATTGAAGCTCTTGTGTTGCTTGTGAAACGTTCTTGAACTGGTGGACACTTTCTATTGATGGTGGTGGATTTTTACTTTGCTCACGATAGTTGATATGGTATTGCCACGTTTACTTTGGACAATATTGAAATTTGTTCACATTTTACATATCAAATATGGGTTTCGTTGTTTTTTAGTGTCAAATTAAGCAAACCATTTGATTAATTGGTGTTTCTAATGAATTGTCATGTATTCTTAATCATATCATTAGGTTCTTATTCATATAAATAAGGGTTTTAACCAATGATAAATGACCATGTATGTACAGTCTGGATAAACAAAAAAGTCTTTTTGACCTTTCGTCACTTATTGTTCTGCCCAAACGTTCAAGTGTTCAACAGGGACAAGGAATATTTGTGTTGGCTCCACTACATAACGGATTTAATGCTCGTTCTAAAAAGGTGTGGTCGTCTGTTGGTGTTCTGATGAGAATGAAATGAATTGAGTTTAACTTCATACCTTTCTGCACCATGTGGGCTAATGGAGACGGGTCTTGAGAATGAAGAAACTTTGAAGTGGTTTGACTAAAATAGACTAACCTTTACATGCCGGTGTGTCTTTAGTTCTGGCCATTTCTGGATACGATGACAGGCCTTCACCATGAGCAAATACACCTACACCGTGGGATCTGGTAGCTAATCTTTCAAACACAGTAGTTGGCATATTTCGTACCATGAAACTTACAATTAAGGCAGTCTGTAATATCAGACATTAATTAGAATATATTTAAAAAACTATGACAGTTGCTGGAAAATTGCATCGACTTGGAGAATATTCCACTTATTTGACTCCTTAAGGCATAATCTTCTGAACTGCTGAGCCTAAGATTTGTTTGTTCCTCTGTTTCCCATCTGATAATCACATCCTGGAAGTTATACCGAAACTTCTGTCTCTATTCCAGCCTCTGATAGCTATTTGGACAGATGTCAGCTGGAATAATAGGCACTGTTAAATGGAGACATTCCGCATCTCTGCAGGTGCTGGGGTTTTTAAACCTATTTAGATTCCTAAGATCTGTAAAACCTAGGTATATTTGGAAACATGCATATTTTTGTAGTTCAGTCATACCAACATTTATTATGTTATGTTTTTTTTTGGCGAGACTGATCTAGCATCGGCCACTTAAAGCTGCCAAAAGTTCAAAGGTCACAGAGTCGTCATACTAACAAAAACGAAAGTACGGTGATGCCCAAAAATAATTTATAATCTCATATTATATTAGAGAAAACGCATCTCTTGGAGGTGTGGAAAATCCCCATTTAACAGGTCTTTTTCTTCTGTCAAAATATCCATCAGAGGCTGGAATAGAGGGGGCATATCAACGTTATATATGAAATCGGTATAGTGTTTTGAGTGTGTTGCAGATCATGAAGTCTAGAAAATTCTCCCCCGGATTTTAATGGTAGTACATATACCTCATAGTGTCCCTTTTCTGATGTTTTCATAGTAGCAGCAACTTGTACAGTATGTTCTGTAGGTTTGTTAGTATGTATAGCTCCATTATGTGCTACATATTTATACTTGTAGCTGCCACTCTGAGCCCTTTTGTCGGGCAATCTTCTGATGAAGTCATAATCTTCTGGACTGTAAATACAACGAACAAAGTTGATCAATAACTCTAATGTCTATCGTTTGTTTGAACGAAGACCATCGGACGAAATATGGGAATGGTGAAAAAGAATATCAATAAGTTTTTCAGATACACATAACTACACGTAATAATGATTTTATATAATTAAGAATGAAACCAAACAGAAAACGAATTTTTATCGAATTACGTCCAAGATTTTTTTTTACCTTAACTTGCCAGTTGTGTAAATGACGTCATCTGCTTGACCAAGGGCGACGATGCCTGAAAAAAATAACAATATCGATTATTTACTAAAAATGACATTCATTTCGCACAGATGTCCATCTACAGTCGTTAAGAGACATTGAAAAGACGTAGATCTAAGACGGTGAAAGTCTGAATTGGTCTTCGAAAGCAAAAGTTCACAATTCCAAAACCTATACCTACCCAAAAAGCATAACACTACTGACGTCCACATGGTGCTGTTCATGTAAACGGTTCAGCATATAGGGTAGGGTAGTGTTTATCTTTTATCGTTCGAACGTGTCACGATAAGGAAAAATTTAGCACGAAAACATTCTTAATTCCTTATCTTTCATTGCCATTTAATATTTAAAGACCATCTTGACATATCTTACAAATACAAACGTGCGTGCTAGTAAAATCTCGCGTGTGCCCGTGCTGCACGACAAGATTATCGCGTCTTCCACAGGATTTATAATATCAAACAAGTTTGATAATTGTCTCCGATAGTTTTATCGTCTACAAGACAGACCGTCATCATCCAATCAGATTCATTTTCCTTTCAATTGCATGCTCCGCACGTGATTATCAACAAAGTGGAAAACAACTGTAGATTTTTTCTCCTCGTTTGCACGTGCCTGTCGGTGACACTCCTGACAAGACTAGTCGGTGACGAAAATCTCCGAACTAGACCATTCGTGTGCCCCTAACCTGCGTTCGGTAACTCACCTTAATGAACAGTATTCGTCTTACTTACATTTTGCTGCAATGAAGCTGGTTCAGTAGAAAAGATCCAAATCCTTCGTTATATTTTGGGTTTTAGTTTTCAATCTGGGAAACGCCTTTGGTGTATAGTTTCGCTGAACATCCCAGATCTGACTAAATCCTCTTTAAGTTTTGATCTGATGATGAAATCGGCGAATTTGTAAAGCTACCAGGAAAGCATTAAGAGTGTCCTTACAAAAGTAGTTAAGCTCGTAAAGCTGAAATGAAATGAATTGAGTGGTGGTAACTGTAAAAGCGCTGTTCTTCTAAATGCTATTCATAACATAAGTAACCAACGAGAAATGCCCTATAGCACAGAATGCTTCTAACCACCATAAAACTTATCATTAGTCAAGAGTGAAACTGTTCTACACGCAAGCAACAAAAACTGAAGAAGGTTGTGAACACATTAAAGACAAAATGAGAATATTACTGGTTGTTCAACAGTGTCGTCATCGTGGTCTTCGCAAGTATTTCTTGAAAAAGGAACTCCAATCGTCAAAAGGGACAACGGGAAAGTTGCAGAGAGCAACTAAAAGACGTGTCTCAAGATACAAATACAAAAGCTATAATAAGATACATAAAATCTATGTATTTTTTAAGGAGTCGCGGTGACTCAGTGAGTTAGACGCTTGCTCGCTAACCCGAAGGTCCAGGGTTCAATCCCGCCATAGGTAGGTTTCCCCCCGTCAGTGATGCAGGTAAAGGAGGATGACATGGAAAAAGCATCTAGTCGCTCGGAAGAGACAAGAAACCGAGTACTACAGGCTGTACACGTTAGAGATCCTTTGATAGTTGCAAATAGAAAAAGAGCAGACTAATGCCGCTTACCTGAAACAATTTCCCATGGTGTAGAAAAGTAGGACGTAAAACACCATTCATTTCATTTCATTTGATTTTTAAAATTTCAGATTTAATGAAAGAAAGTTGATGTTGTTTGGATTTATAACTTGTTTAGCTGGTTATTTTATATTCTTACCATGGGGAAACGTCTTACCAGTAAGATCAGTTGCAAGTGAGTTTACCATTTTCTTATTAGATTTTGTCAAGTTTTGTGTACATTCTGCATTCTGGACCTCCTCAACAGCTTCCGGAATTTTTCGGTTGACTCTAAGCTTTGATTCCTTTGTCTGACTTTGGCTCTAGATTTCCTCAGCTGTTCTTAATTTTTTCATCTAACTTCGATTTCAGCGCCTGAATTGTGCATTTGATTTTAGCAGCAGACATGTGCGTTCGATTTTTGTGGTTGTCTTGTGTTTTCTACTTCCTCAACTGCTTAAATTAAGCAGGTACTAACGATCCAAACCGCAAAACAAAACCCGAAATCCAAAGGAAACATTGGTTTCAGCTCATGAACTTTTCACATGCGGAAGTATATCAATCATAAGTGACTTATAATTTTGACTTCTCAACTGACTTGTTTCGGAGATATCCTAGTCTGACCTGTAAATTTCATCCACTACTAACTTAGCGATGGTCACGATATACATTAGAATCCATAGTATCCCATAGCAGTAGTATTCAGTTTCCTTTTTAACTTGAAATCATTGTTATCTCCCTTCAAACTGAAGGACGAAACGGCTAAAAATGGGAGTAAGAGGCCATACAATTGTTTATTAGAAAAAAATACCCTTTGACAGCGGAATTAATCTACTCTTTTTCTATTTTCAATTGACGTGGACAGCCTGTATCACACGGGCTCGATTTATTGTTCCTCGACTAGACGCTTTTGCCATGTCATCCGCCTCAACCTACATAACCGACAGGCGGGAAACCAGTAGAACAATCTGATGATAATATCTCAATTTCAGCCAAGGGGGGTCGTTTTCCAAACTGTCGGTCAGCTGGGTACGTTAGATTATTCTGACCGATTCGACCGCCGATTCAAACACTTCTTTTGAAGTCGTGAACTGGGTTATCATTATTAAAGATCAGAAGTTAATATTTTTCTTTTAATGATCGTTAATAACGACCGAAGAAGCTTATATCATGTTTTTATTTTTCGATTCCCCATATATAAAATAATTATCTGCGCTTATCCGATAGATGTGGTACCTTAATATGATTATTCCATGATTATATATTAGTAAGGCAGTATATTATTTAATATAAATAAATCCTAGGCGGAGAAATCATATATCTCTATCATTAATCCAATCATGCAGGTAATACGATCATGGGAGTCTTCTATTATCTTCCTACATCATATATATATGATATATCATTCATAAATGGTCCTGTAGATGCTATACAGCAATAAGATACGATATTCTACATTTTCAATGTTTTGGGGTCCTTCAAAATTATGTACTGAGAAGGTCTGTAGGGAATGGGATAAATTGGCTTTATTTTGGGAAATTTTGGCATTTTTGAATTGATATTTTCGGGACAACTAATACAGGTTGTTCCAGTGGCATTATTGTACTATTTCTCGATTTCCATCTGACAAGGGGCCGTTAACGTGTACAGCCTCTATCACCAAAGGTGTGGGCACACGAGTGATCTTGGTTGGAGACTTTTGTCGCCGATTAGAGTCTTATCTTAAAGTTCAACGACTGATACAGACACACTCCATTCGGTCAATTTCCACCAATTTTCACGCGAGGAGCATGCAATTGAAAGGAAAATGGATCTGATTGGATGATGACAGTCTGACATGCAAACCCTTATCAAACTTGTTTGACATAATAAATCCTGTCAACACGATAAACTTGTCGTGGAGGCACGGTCACACACAAGATTTTACTCAAGACACTAGTCGGCGACAAAAGTCTCCAACCTAGACCGCTCGTGTGGCCGCACCTTTAGATGCACGGTTCATCCGAACTACTGCACTCTTAACAATTCAGAAACCGGGATAGTTGAAACCGTAGTATCACAACTACATACGACAAACCAGATCTGCTGGTTTCCTAGCCAAGTCAGCCACCAAGAGTCTCCAAGGCCATAACATTTTAGGTGTTATTGAGCTATTATTGATTATGGACTTACCAGTAATTATGAGTTTAATGTAATTCCATATTATTCGAATCATTATTTCCTTAGAGCTTGGCATCTTTTATGACCTGAAAGCTGCCGTATCACGTGTATCTAGACTTAATACTAGCATTCACGTGTTTCTATATTCGGGATCTGTGAGAAAGACTCAGATGTGAGAGCATTTTAGTTTTAAACAACTTGTGTTTAATCATTTTCACAATGTCAAGTTATTATGATTGGATTGTACATTACCGAATACAGACAATCAGGGCCACAGAAACTCTGTAAATCATAAGCCATAATGTGTACAGTCTTATGTCAATATATTCGGTAGCGTAAAATCGAATTAAATACAAGAAAAGAGCGCTTTGACGTCAAGGAATTAGACGTAGTTCGTAATAGCTTGACAGTGTGAGATTGGTGTAGTATAAGATGGATCATATCACTAAAAATATGATTCAGATCAATCTCTCACCAATAATTTGAGAAGCTGAATTAACCAGTTTACGACACTTTCGACGACGTATGTTTCTTTCATTAAGTCGAGAAAAGAGATTCAAAATGCTTATGAACTACGATGGTGGTAACCAGATTTTTGCACCTTCCTTGAATTTGTTACTTATGTTTTCAGCTTTAAAACCGGCAGGAAATTTCACCAATGTAACTATGGCCTATGGTGCAGATCTGAATACTACAGTTGAACCTGCAACATTTTTACAGCGACGACTTGAGACCTCTGAGAGTCTCATTGGCAACTCAACAACGATCTGGTCTTTGAACACGGTGATGACAGAAACGTCAATGACAACGGATGTCGATACCAGTGCGTCGGTGGGAACCTTTTCAACTTACGATACTACTTACAGTACTGACCCCGCCACAACGACAAGTGAACCTCTTACAACCAGGATAACGTCTGATGAAACAGCTGGTAGTTCTTCAATGCTCACTGATTCGTCATCACCTTCTACACCCTTGTCTACCACGAGTGGTCCAATGTACACCAATACCACAGATAATGTGACCACAACTACGGTTGAACCACAGGGCTGTCCGGAATATTACAGTTGGTGTTCATATACCCCAGTAATATTTCTGTCCCAGTTTTTAGCAGGTGTTGCATGTATTGGTATAGGTTATCCTGTAGCTCAGATTATGAGTTATACGATATATTCAAAAATACTTGGTCCTAAACCTCAGGTAATTGTGTTCATATTACGTTCAATGTTTTAATTTCGGCGTTTCGAATTTTTTCAAAATATATATTCGTTTTTCTGAGGAATCATTACAATACCAACGGCTATCCAAGTTACTTTTCTAAAAAGCAAACTTTCAGAATACCGTAAAGGCATTGTGTCAATTCGGAACGCAGTAAGTTCTTGTTAGGACCTAGATTGTAGATTTGATTTTATGCGATGATGATTTGGTAATCAATGTGCTTCGTTGCATGATGAAGCCAGAATCCATGTGCGATAGGATGTATGTGCTAAAGATCCAAGACTGACATTGTACACGGGACAGGGCGCTTTTCGCCTTCGTCAGCTCAATCAGGAGCAGACAGATAACACGTCATTGTCTGTGATACGATTCTGATCATATTGTTGTTATTTCAGGCCGTATGGATGGGTTGGTTAACTGCAGCTGGTAGTGCAGCTAGAGCAATAGGTCCAGTGTTTGTGACACAGATATATAATAGTTATGGACCGCGGGTGACATTCAGTGCTTGTTGTGGAATACTCTTAGCTACAATCCTATTTATTTGTATTATATCCAAAAGACTTGTACCGTTCTCAGTCCAAACTAAATTGATCTCTCCTGTACGAAACTAACTGGACTGATGTGTACGTAGCTTTTGGTGATTGTAGGTTATAACTTATGAAAAAATATTTATTAAGTGTATTGAATATAAGACTTATCAATCGAATTGCTGATTCTAAATTTTTGGTTTGGAGTCAATTCACTCGGAATGCATGATCTAAAGATGATCTTTCAATCGTGTCTCAAGAAAAGACGAGTCGTCTTTTTTAACTTTTTACGCGAATAATTCTGGACACACATCAAATTTCGACAGTAAGCTGTGAACACTGTTACTGATTAGCTTAGCTAAAAATTACCGTTTCTGAGACTAAGGTACGATTGGTCAAACGGATGGTGAAGCTGTCTCTTTAAGGGGTCCCTACAGCGATCACCGGTTGTGTAAGGTTGGGAATATAAACAGCGGTCATAAGTTTCGAACGCAACTGTCATGCAGCTGAATTGCAATTTACATTCGGTACTCATGGTTCGCAACTGTTAATCGCTGTGGTGTGAGGGCATCTTACATTGTCCATCTAAAACGAAACTATCAGCTTCCAACAAGCAAGGGAAATGTTGGCTGATAGACAAGAATGACGGCAAAGTTAAATCACATTTTCATGTGATCAAAAAAACAAAACAAAAACGAGCACATAAACAACTTCACAAAATATATCTTTCAAATATATATAACAATATATAGATTAGTTACTATAATAACAACATTTTAAAACACTTTTAACTCATATAATACATAACTACTTTAAAACAAGTTGCCATTTTTAATCTAAAAATCATCCACAACTAGGCCATAACTTTAACAAGCAGGACTTAGTCTCTGCCTTTCCTTATGTAGTGGTCAATGTCTTAAATACTTCACTTTTGGACACAAAATTTAAAGATGGGTTCCCTTATTTTCATTCATAAAAATGAAAATGCCAATACTTATATGAATAGAAAGTAGAGGTGTTCTAATGACTTGGAAAAGTTTGTCTCACATGTCTATAATTAATTCAAAATTAGCTACATTGGAAGAGAATTACCAGCAGAATTCCAGTGAGTGACCGATAAAGAAAGGTCAAAACGTCGTTTTTTGTTCATATAAAAAAAAATAATAAGAATATAATGATATTATTAAGAATACATGATAATTCATTAGAAACACCAATTAATCAAATAGTTTGCTTAATTTGACACTAAAAAAATAAGAAAAAACCCATTTTCAAAGTTAAAAAACCTCTTTAAAACCTTTAAAAAATCTTTTGAGAATCAGTGGGATCACGCAAAGCATTAATTTCAATATCAAAATCTACAGGTCGATTTTCAAAAAACATTTGCGTATCTTTTAAAATGTAACGAAAAACTTCATTAATATAATGCATAGGTGCATAGGATCTCCAAAATTCCGTGCCATTTATACAACTGATTGCGTAGCTAAACCAAAATTTTTGTCAAACATTGGTTATTCTCATTTGTTATCATGATGGTTAATCTCATTTGTTATTAAGATGGTTATTCTCATTTGTTATCATGATGGTTATTCTCATTTGTTATCATGGTGGTTATTCTCATTTGTTATCAAGATGGTTATTCTCATTTGTTATCATGATAGTTATTCTCATTTGTTATCATGATGGTTATTTTCTTTTGTCTTTTGTTATCAATATAATCATTCTCATTTGTTATCAAGTGGTTAATCTCATTTGTTATCAAGGTGATTTATAAGCATAGTTATCATTTAGATAACAAATCAGCGCTATTATGATGGTAACTGATTATAGACATGAAAATGATTACGATGCTTCCATAATGAACACTCTTTCGTATGATCAATATACCTCGCTGTAATAATTATTATATTATTATGTTTGTTACCCTGTTTTGCTATTATATTATTATCGCTATTCATTGCTATTTCAATTATCATTATGTTCACTCTGAATTGCTATCATTATGTTCACTATGCATTGCTATCATAATTATCACTATGAATTGCTATCATTATGTTCACTCTGAATTGCTATCATTATGTTCACTATGCATTGATATCATAATTATCACCAAGCCTTGCTTTCATCATGTTCACTATGCTCTAATAAGTATCACTATGCATTGCTATCATTATGTTGACTATGCATTGCTATCATAATTGTCACTATGCACCATTACCATTATGTTCAATATACATAGCTATCATAATGATTGCTACATCATAATGATTATTAATTCTTCTGGGCCTATCAAACTGAATTTCGCAAGTAAAATTAATACATCTGCTTGAAACTAGAAACAAAGAAACACTACTAAATAATATTTTTTCTAAAACACAACTAAATTTATCACTGGCTTTGTCAAACTATATTTTCAGGGGAGTAATTGGCAGGAGGATAAAACATTTTTGGAACTGGAATTCTTCCTAAGGCTGTTTTAATTCTGCTGATTCGATCCACAGAAGACAGATTTTTGTAACCATCACATACAAATTTCACGCTGTCTCTGGGATTTGTCACTGAGGTCCTTCCATCCGAATTTGATCCATAAGGCTGAAAATTTTGAGCATGACCATTTTGGACATTTGTTGTGCAACTACCCCTACTTGTCGCATGATGATTCCGCACAAATGGTGCATTGCTGCCTACGTCATAACCATTAAAATCGGAACCTTGAGGATGGCTGTTCACTTGGGAATGATCATTCCTGTAATGATTGCCAAAAGCTTCATGACCACTGTTATGCCTGTCACGACCTGTATGAAGAGGATCATTGGACATATATTCATAGTTGTTCCCTGAGTTAAAAGTTAGATCGGTTCCAGATGGAACCTGAGCTGGTGGTAAAGATGAGTAACCTGGTGGACTCCCTCCAGAAGATAGGATGTCCTCATTATTGTGTGGTAAATGCTGAACTGTCATGGAAACATCTTTCTTTAACTTTAATAATTCTGATTCCATCTGACTTTGTTGACCCTGAAAGATGGTTTAAACCAGTCAGACTTTAATCCCAAGGAATAAAATTACAAAAACCACCATCTACAGCTCAAGTTCTGACAAAATTGGATCGATACAAAATCAGTCCTTAATTTGAAATCGGCTGGACTCTATTTTAAAGGGACGGGTGTGCCATTTTTTTGACCAATCATACTTTAGTCTCAGAAACGGGATTTTTTGTTAGCTGAGCCAATTGTAATAGTGTTCAAAGCTCACCATCGAAAATTTGAGCCTTCAAATCCATATGTGTTCAGAATTATCCACGATTGAATGTTAAATTGAATTGCATTTCTAAATATGAGGCCCTGGCAGCTTTCGACTATTCTTTTGTCCTTAGGAAAGTAGTCAAGAATTATGCCAATAAATCTAAATGTAAATCGCACAAAAGAGCTCAAGGTACTAAAATAATATCGAAATATGATCATTACCTTGATCAAAGCTAATTTTCCCTGTAGTTTTTGATGTTGAGCTGTATCTTTATGATGTAAAGAATGAGCTATGATATCTTCAATACGACTGATTTCTTCTAACTGAAAATTTAAACTTTCACCAATTTCTAGATGTTTTCTCTGTAGTTGATCAGCAAATACAGTAAATTCATCAAAATTCTGGAATAATTACAGAAAGATTCTATTCAAATTCTGGAATAATTACAGAAAGATTTTATTTAAATTCTGGAATAATTACAGTAAAATTTTATTTGAATTCTGGAATAATAACAATAAATTCATCAAAATTCTGGAATAATTACAGAAAGATTCTATTCAAATTCTGGAATAATTACAGAAAGATTTTATTTAAATTCTGGAATAATTACAGTAAAATTTTATTTGAATTCTGGAATAATAACAATAAATTCATCAAAATTCTGGAATAATTACAGAAAGATTCTATTCACATTCTGGAATAATTACAGAAAGTTTCTATTCACATTCTGGAATAATTACAGAAAGATTTTATTTAAATTCTGGAATAAATACAGTAAAATTTCATTTAAATTCTGGAATAATTACTGTAAAATTTTATTTAAATTCTGGAATAATTTCAGTAAAATTTTATTTAAATTCTGGAATAATAACAATAAATTCATCAACAGTCTGGAATAATTACAGTAAAATTCTATTCAAATTCTGGAATAATTACTGTAAAATTTTAATTAAATTCTGGAATAATTACTGTAAAATTTTATTTAAATTCTAGAATAATTTCAGTAAAATTTGATTTAAATTCTGGAATAATAACAATAAATTCATCAACAGTCTGGAATAATTACAGTAAAATTCTATTCAATTCTGGAATAATTACTGTAAAATTTTAATTAAATTCTGGAATAATTACTGTAAAATTTTATTTAAATTCTGGAATCATTTCAGTAAAATTTCAGTTAAATTCCGGAAAAAAAAATCAGACTTATCTGCTTATTATGTAAAAGTAAAACTAACCTGACTACCTGCCGATGATGATGGAGAAGAACAATTACTGTAGTGTGGTAAACCAGATGATACTAAAATAAAAAGGATCATCTTAGCTCATTTGGAAGCCCTATCACCTAATCATGCTTGTGGTAACTTCTAGTTATACACCCAGTAACCAACAAAGAAACAATGACCCTTTGGTTTATTCTTATTAGGCATGGACTGCCCTGTAGCAAGATCCAAGTTAGTGGAAATTTCATCAATCTACCAAAAACCAAAATCCAACAAAAACTGTGATCACTGCTAATTCAAATTGGTCCAAGATATCAGCAATCCTGTCACAAAAATCATATCAAACCACACATTTTCAATTTTTTATCAAGAAATTGCCACAGTTAACATAAGTACAGCAGTTTCAAGGCATCAAGAGCTTGAGTTGAATGCAAATCCTTACTTGGCCATGTAGTAGCAGCTTATTTTCATCCAGCCAAAAAACAATCAACTATTTTCAGACAATTACCTGAATGTGGTGTCCGAGAAATTTCTGGATTTGATGAGTCTTGATGAGGTAGATTTGGATATGAATGAAAGGAATTTTGAGGATGATGCAAACTCCCTTTTCCATGGAGGATATCAGATAAAATTGATGTCTCCTGTCTGCTATCCTTTTGAGTTTCATGAGGAGTTGTCGCCCCTTCATTGGAACTCTCATTAGAAGAAGGATACTCTTTTCTATCATCATCATCAGCCAATCCTGTGGTGTCCATGAACTCTTCTGAGCTTCCACTGCCATGGTTACTGGATGAACCAATCATAGAGAGTTCTATTCCATTGAGATCTGGGTAGGAGTCCAATCCTGATATACAAGCATCCTTTTGATGTAAATTGCCATTTGGAGTCTCATCCAACCTCCTTTTCCGATGATTTGAGTAACCATCGTCTACAGATGAATTTTTGTCTGATAATGGATCACTATTGTCAACGGCCTTAATGACATCACCATGGCTGGTAAATCCATAGGGCTGATCCATCAATTCTGGGGAATTGGCCGCCAGGGAATTGGCCGCTTTGATGATTTCAGACATAAGTTCCTCAGTGTTAGTTATTTCTTCATCTGTATCTTCTTTTCGTTGTTTATCCAATTTCTTTGTACCTTCTTCAACACTAAAATAATAAGTTGGAATGGCAGTATGGACTCAAGGTATATTTTGAAATAAAGAGTTGGACGTAAAGCAAACAGTGACAAATTTTTGCAAAATTTTATTCAAAATCAGCTGAAAACGGAGAAATGAAAAAAAGGCAGGCATTGGTGTTAACATATCCACAAACAGGCATGTAAGAGAATAAAAATACATTGAGCTTATGGTGAATTTCCTTTTTTGAAAATCATGTTCGTCATTATCAGAAACTGTCTGAAAAGTTTTGTTCCGTACTCCTCTGCTTCTATTTGGGTTAAAGGGACATTCTGCTCTTTTTTGGGACGAAAAATTTGTATGCTCAAATTTGTGAAAACTATGCACCAAAATCTAGAGAAATGTGCCCTGTAACATATCTGAAAGTTTTAACTAAAAAAATCCTGTGTTAAACGTTACATAAGGTGTTTTGGAGGCTGTGAAAAAAACTACTGTATGGATTTGAGTAAAATGAACGCCTAATTGTAGAGAAATATGTCTTCTACATATTCTAAAAGGTTTCGAGCCAATATAAAGTTAAACATCAAAGATAGTTCAAACAGTTTAATAGCTTAAATACTCTGGTTTTTGATTAAAATTCTAAAACAAATTCAGTTTGATCAAGAAGTTACATAGATATCAATAGCATACTTTAGAAATATTTTCAGGTATAATTTACGATGTTTTTGATAATGAAAACTTTTTTTCAAAAAGGCAGAATATCCCTTTAATGAAGATGCTCACCAGACAATGAAAGTAAAAAAAGATTTCTCGAATGATTGCTTACCTCAATTGTGTATTCAAACTAACTATAAATTTTGGCTGATGTGTCCATGAATCTCTAGCTACGCAGGATCGTGATTCAACAAAAGTTTGCTCATCTGATCCTAATGTTTGTAATCTAAAAATAGTACTTGGTACTTCCCCTTCACTCAATACTGAAAGTTAGGTAAGCATGAGATGAAGAAGACTTCAAAATAAGTAGAAAGCAATACAGTTTTGCTATTTTTACACAAAATGGACAAGAAGCAGAAGACTCTGTTGAAGAAGGATTGAAACCGGTCCAAAGGTTCACCTATATGCAAGCTTATTGTTTTCCATCAAAAACTTATTCAGTCCACCCTGATGAATAAGGCTTACAAGGTGTGTTCACCTTTTAGCAAACCTGTTGACACTTTGTGACTTAAAGATGGGTTCCCTTTTTTCATTCATGAAAATGAAAATGCTAATACTTATATGAATAGAAAGTAGAGGTGTTCTAATGAATTGGAAAATTACCAGTTTGTCTCACATGTCCATAATTAATTCATAATTAGCTAAATTAGAAGAGAATTACCAGCAGAATTCCAATGAGAAACTGATTAAGAAAGGTCAAAAAGTCTCTTTTTGTTCATCCAGACTGTACATACATGAACATTTATGATTGGTTAAAACTCTTAATTATATGCAATAAGAACATAATGATATGATTAAGAATACATGATAATTCATTACAAACACCAATTAATCAAATAGTTTGCCTTTTTTGACACTAAAAAATAAGGAAACCCATCTTTAAAAGTGTAAAATCAGGAGAAGAGATTATCGGTTATGGTGAGTAATCATTTAAGCTTCTTGAATCACAGGATTCGATCATTGTGTGTTTTAAAACAGTTCAACACCAGGAAAAAGATGGAGGGAATGATTCATAAAGACTTTTTGACAAACTCTGAAACTAAACCTGAGGTAAATCCACATTTCCTAGAGAAAAGTATGCAAATTTGACGAGATCAAATAGATGAAGGCCCAATAGAGACACACTTTCACCCAAGACCACCAGCAAGGCCCTTAAGTGAATCCCTTAACTATAGGCCTTACACAGAGTAAAAAGTTGATCTACTTACTCTTTTTATGACTTTTGCCCACAAAATAAATGTCTTCGGGATTGATATGCATATAAACTGAGGTACCATAATTTTCACTAGGCATACTTCCTGTCACATGACAACTCCTAGAATCAGACAGATCAAAATACATCTCTAAGCAGTTCATATCAAATATTCTTTGTTAGTTACTTCATACATTCTCAGATCTAACGCAATTTGTAAGAAATGCATGTTAATAAATGTAACCAATCACTTCATGTCCTGTGTTTAAGTTCAAACAGTCAAATCCTTTGTTCAGCAAGAGGTTAATACACACTTGTAAGGAATTCTGGGATATAAAAGAAAGAGAGAAAAGAAACATCTATATTTTACAAGGAAAACAACTTAGGTTCACAGTTAAGGATCCTCTCTACCAGATGGTCCTTGGCCAAACCTCTTGGCATCGATCTTTACCAGATTATTCGTACACATATGCAGCTGGGTCAACTGGAATTATGAGTGAAGATGGCTTACTCAAGGTCATCAGACTTTCAAACGCCGATCTTGATCGAAACCCACAGCTGCCATTTTCTTCACGTAACCAAGCATATGATGTCACGTAAGAAACCAAAGCTCTAACTATATTTATATGAACACACTGACTTAAACATTTAGTTCACATCAATTTGAATCGAACGTTAAACAACAGCGTTGTAAATTTTTTGTGTTAAAAGCATAATTTTGACCGAAATATGCAAGCAACCCTCTCAGTTAATGGGTTTGACCACCCATGGCCAATACCTTAGGTTAGGCAATTTCACATATTTTTAACAATCTATAATTTTTTTTTTTACCTTGGATCTGTGTAAAGAATTTGTCCGTCCATTGCATGCTGGGTAATCCATTCATTTCTGCCACCATCAAGAATTGAAATATTTTGTATAACTTCATTTTCAAGAACTCTTCCTACTCCATTTAACCAGACATCATTACTTGTTCCTGCTAATGGACGGAAATTTCAAGAAATTATTAATTTTAGAAGAGTAACCTGCTAGAACTTGGTGACGCAATCTCAGACCTATTTCTTACTTAGGGTATGATTCACACCTATAACCCCTTATTACAGGGAGTACATCACCAAAAAGGGTTTTGACATGGTCTTGTACACTTCGTTTTGGGGCATGGAAATGAGATTGGTGGCATTTAAATCAGACCAATCATTTGACCTGACCAGATCTAACGAAGAATCAACAACCAAACCAACAACACAGAATCTTTCAATTTGAACCAATCCAACTACCAACTACCAACATCTACCTAGTTTACGATATCAGCATCCACTGGAAGCGACCTTTAACCATCTACTAACCAACCAATCTAGGTAGATTAGCTCAGCCCCACATACCACAATCACACTGTTGCATAGGCATTTGACAAATTTGATTTCAAAATTGAAGAGTTTTTATCATAAGTTGGTCTAAATATTTACTGTAAAGAAGTTCTTAAGGCTGATTCTCTCAGGTGAATATTACATAGCACACACACTGTTGCAAAGGCACTGACAAATTTGACTTCAAAATTGAAGAGTTTTTATCATAATTTGGTCTAAATATTTACTGTAAAGAAGTTTTTAAGGCTGATTCTCTCAAGTGAATTTTACATAGCACAGACACACTGTTGCAAAGGCACTGACAAATTTGACTTCAAAATTGAAGAATTTTTATCATAATTTGGTCTAAATATTTACTGTAAAGAAGTTCTTAAGGCTGATTCTGTCAGGTGAATTTTACTTAGCACATAGCAAACACACTGTTGCAAAGGCACTGACAAATTTGACTTCAAAATTGAAGAGTTTCATCATAATTCCATATCAATATTGACTGTAATTTGAGCTTCAAACTACACAGAAGACATATAAAACTAGTGAAAGACTTTTCAGAGTAGTTTACATTCTAAATCTGTCATAATAAAACATTTTTCTCGGGACAGGTATTTGAATTTTTTCCTGATTCTTGTCACAAAGATTCTTCAAGTGTCAGAAAGAAATGTCAAGAAAAATGTCTTCTAGGTGATTGTGAAATGAAATATTTTTTAAGCTTCTTTGCACTACATTGTCTATTTCCATGTGGCTATTGTTCTTCTTCTTCCATAACATACTTTTAATGATTGAGACCTGAAGCATTATTCGTTAGTATTTCCATTTCCAATTTTTTAATTCAAATTTTAAAGATGGAATCCCTTATTTCCGTTTATTAAAATGGACATGCTAATTCTTATATGAATAGAATGTAGAGGTGTTCTAATGAAAAATACCAGTTTGTCTCACATGTCCATTATTAATTCATAATTAGCTAAATTTGAAGAGAATTACCAGCGAATTCAAATGAGTGACCCATCAAGAAAGGTCAAAAAGTCTTTCTTTGTTTATCCAGACTGTACATCCATGGACTCACTGAGCCCAAACACCTCCCTAAATCTTAATAATGATCTTATACCTTTACCTGTATTAGCTTCTCTTGACAACAATGACATCTCTTGTAGTTGCCCCACGATATGTATCATTGTATAGCAGGCATTTTCACGATAATTTACATTAAGAAACCTGGTATAGAATGATCTGGTACTGGATCCACTATCAGGAGCTAAAATTACAGAAAAATAACAATTGTTAACCAGCTGAAAGAGTTCTTATTAAGATAGCTTGCCAGGCAAGGTAATATACGCCTACTGGCTGCTTTGATTCTGAATAAAAAATATTACCATCAGAAATACACTTCTTTTGAACTTTTTGAGGCGATACTGAATAATATTACCAAGTTTCATCAAAATCTGTCAAGAATTGGGCCCTCTACAGTGTTCGAGGGCTAAAAATTAAATGTGTATTCAAGGGCAATAACTCATACTAAATATTTTTTAATTTTTCTGATTTTCAATAGGGTTCATCCTTGGGAGATTTTGAACAAGCATACTAAGATTCATCAAAATCAGTCAAGAATTGTGCCTTGTAGAGTGTTTACGAGCAATTGTGGACAGACAGGAGTGACCACAATGGGCGTATAAAAATCGTCTCTGATAAAAATGAATTGCATCCCCAAAAACAAATTCTGGTGGTAAACTCATATCATCATTATAACTAAACATCACACATTGGAATCATGTGCATGCAAGCCTAAAGTATTCATGTGTCTGACTTGGAAAAATACCAGTTTGTCTCACATGTCAATAATTAATTCATCATTAGCTAAATTCAAAGAGAATTGACCGATCAAGAAAGGTAAAAAAATCTCTTTTTGTTTAACCAGTACATACATAGACATTTATGATTGGTTAAAATTCTTAATTAAATGCAATAAGAACATAATGATATGATTAAGAATACATGATAATTCATTAGAAACACCAATTAATTAAATAGTTTGCCTAATTTGACACTAAAAAAAGGAAATCCATCTTTTAATAATTGACTTGTCATTATTAACACTCCTTCTTAACAAGTTTGCTTATATATGGCTGAAGCTAAATTTTGAAAATCCATTCCCACCTCCAAAACAAGAGAGCATTATTAGATGCTAAATTTGACAAAAAAACAAGGAAATCCATCTTTTAATAATTGACTTGTCATTGTTAACACTCCTTCTCAACGAGTTCGCTTATATATGGCTGAAGCTAAATTTTGAAAATCCATTCCCACCTCCAAAACAAGAGAGCATTATTAGATGCTAAATTTGACGAAAAAACAAGGAAATCCATCTTTTAATAATTGCCTTGTCATTGCTAACACTCCTTCTCAACGAGTTCGCTTATATATGGCTGAAGCTAAATTTTGAAAATCCATTCCCACCTCCAAAACAAGAGAGCATTATTTGATGCTTAATTTGACAAAACAAACAAGGAAATCCATCTTTAATTTTTTCTTCTATTGAAAGAATATCGTTTATATTTCATGTTATTTTCTGTATTGTGTTCTTCATATATTTTTGTTATTAAACGTAAAAGTTCCAGAAATAATTATTGTCAATGTCTTTTTGTGAAGAAAAATAATTATCAAATTGCATGTTTAGAAAATCTGAAAAATGAACATTTTTCATGATCGTGACGTTTTACGAGACTTTTTTTTGAATTATCTTTAAATAGAACCCATTCTTTTGATAATTCACTTTGTTGTATGCTAATATAGAACTTAGGCAATACAAAAAACTTTTATTATTACAAATTATTCATGAAAATATTTCTAAAGTATGCTATTTATATCTATGTATCTACTTGAACAAACTGAATTTGTTTTAAAAGGGTTAATTAATTGTTAATTAAGTAGTTTGACCTAGTTTTGGTGTTTGGTTTTATAATGGCTCCATATTAGTAGTTGAAACACTATAGAAAATAATTACAATTAGGCATTTATTTTACTAAAATCCGTACAAAAGATTTCCAAAGACCCAAAAACCATTGTGTCGCTTAAATGTTAAAATGTACCTTATAACTAGTTCTAGTGATCTAAAATTAACAGCAAGATACTTTAAAGTGAAAACTTTCAGTAAAGTTAAATGACACAATTCTCTAGATTTTTGTGTATATAATTCATAAATTTGAGTAAAAAAATTTTTTTCCACCTACTAACTGTGTACCGGCATTATCAAAATATATTAGATCCTATCTCAATATGCTAACTTATGCCATTGGTGAATTGAGAAGCTTTCACTGAGTAAAACTGGTTGAAAACTAAAGGACTAGTCGCATATTATGTTTTAAAGGGACAGTTACGCCATTTTTTTTAACAATCAAACTTTAGTCTCAGAAACAAGAATTTTTTAGCTAAGCCAATCAGTAATAGTGTTCACAGTTCCACATCGAAATTTGAACCTTCAAATCCATGTGTGACCAGAATTATCAGCATTTTAATGTTTAAAGGAGGAGTGATATTTTTTCAGATGCTGCCATATATGGAAATAGGAAAAGAAATTCCTAGTTTGAGATATTTTTGAAGGAATTGTGTGATTTTTGTACATTCTAGTACTTCTGAAGACTTTTTCATATTTTCAAATGAACCCCTAAAATCTGTCCCATTAGGATCGAAAACTTTTACAATTTCCCAAAATTCAACTTAGGTTCAAGAGGTTCTTAAATATGCGAGGTCACAGGGGTTAATATCAAGGCATTAATGCTGGAAAAGTTTTAGCTGTATACGTACATCTAAGAGAACACTTTAAAACTTTTAAAAATAGTGAAAATTGGTAAAATACAACAGGTAGCTAAGCTAACAGGTTGAAATTTTTGGTCTCGATGTTACCCGGTTTTTTGGACTCGGTGCTTCTCTAGCTCTCCCCTAATGTGCATAAAAGTCAATTCTGAGCAATTTTTTTTGGTGAAAAAGTGCCAAAAATCCTGTTTTTCATTGAGAAAACTAAAACGTTCAGTTCTTCCAAAGAGATATGAATGTGTGGTTTAGAGAATTGGAAAGCTAACATTTGAAACTAAAACATGTGAAAATTTCATCTTCCGAACTCAACCAGTTTGTTCGTGGTGAAGCTTCAAAGTTAAGATTTTCAAAAAAGTCAAAATTGGTGGAAGCTACCTGTTGATGAAAAATTCATTTATTGGTCGAATATTTTGGGTCTTCCGACAATGTAAATATACTTTCCACCCACTAAGATATAAATGATCTCAAAATAGATCTAGAATTCTCCGAAGACTTAAGACTCGGAAACCAAGATAAATTGATACACTTTAGGGAATATCCTAAAATACATAAAACTTAAGCCATTCTGTTTCTTTCAATCCAGAATTTTCAAATTACAAATCTATACTGTTGAAAAGTAAAAATTAATTAAAATTTACTTCAAACCTTTTCTTTCCTTTATTGTAAAAATCTTAAGGGGAATTTTTCGAAACTACTTGTGTATCGAAGACACTGATAGCATTGATTTACACCATTCCAATTTTCAATGAGACATCTGTGGTTCTTTCAATTCAACTAAAACTAAGTATTGATGACGGCCTTCTAAATCATATCATTATGTTCTTATTGCATATAATTAAGAGTTTTAACCAATCATAAATGTCCATTTATGTACAGTCTGGATAAACAAAAAACAACTTTTTGACCTCTCTTGATCGGTCACTCATTGGAATTCTGCTGGTAATTCTCTTCTAATTTAGCTAATTATGACTGGTATTTTTCCAACACTTCTACTTTCTATTCATATAAGTATAAGCATTTTCATTTATGAAAATAAGGGAACCCATCTTTAATATATATAGACTTACAAGTTCCAGAATAATGTCGAGGTAGAAATTGAGCATGAAATAGCTTGACATCATCGGGATGAATTATAGTTTCTATATCTTTACCAATAAAATCAAACTGAAACAAAACATATTACTGATAATACTAACTTTAGATAGCTCTTCTTGCTATATCTAAATCTAAATGCCTCCCCTGAGGCCTGTGGGCGGTCTTATTTTAAAGTCAAAATTAAGCCCTCTAATGCTAAAAAATCATCTCAGACTGTCTGAAATTTGTTGGCTTCTAGAGGCCCTTCCGTCTCAATGGGCTTCGGTACAACAGACCTTGTCTGACTGACAAACCACTCATTTTGGCCCTTCCTCAGGTATTTTCTAGTTAACCACGCTTGACCTGTACAAAAAAAGTCAAATCACCAAATCAAATAATCTAAAAGTTGTAAAGACCAACTTCGTTTCCATTTGAAATTGGCCTATGGTGGATTTGAATTTAGTGAGAGCTAATAATGAATTTGTCTGTATTGGTTGTGACTTAAAAACAAAGATTAGGACAGATCAATTTATTTTCTTGTTGTAAGGATTCTAACTCAATTTTCCAGAAATAAGAAGAAAAAAAAAAACAAATGAGCATTGCTGGAAAAAAAAATTCATTCATTCATTCATTCATTCATTCATTCATTCATTCATTCATTCATTCCCAATGAGAAAAATCATCCCCTAAAACACTCATTTTTGATAAAATATATATTTTTTGAATAAATCTATACTAAGAAAGTGGGAAAATCTAGGTCAATTCTGGCTTTTGTAAGGTTCTTTTCTTGCTCACCCTTCAAACAAATTTAGTCTTTTTTTTCCAGTAAATATCTGGTAAGAAGAAAATGAATTAGGCTGACCATACACAGCAATCCTGTTCTAGAGTTTGTATGGGTTGCTGTCTGAAAAATATAGATTAAGAAAAAAGAGTGCAGCTGTCTTGACCTATGTACTGAAATACTGACCTGATTATGACCTAGTATATGACCGATAGCTTCTGTTAGTAGTATAATAGTACCTTTCTTTGATACCACTATCAAAAATCCGTCTACTGCCTGTAATAAATAATAGTACATCTTACCAAGGTACATGACCAAAACATTGAAATTTCTTAACTTGGTTAAAATGAATCGTTATTCATCAGTGAACTGACCTGGCTGTGTATTCTCGAAATGATCTTTGCTAGGACCAATCCTAGGCACTTGTGACAGGTTTTAAGGCATCCTAAATCTAAGATTCTTCCTATTCTCAAAACAGTCCTACAAGTATCCTAAATAAACGATCCTAAACTTCTCTACCCTATAAACCCTATATAACATTCTTGACAGCCAAAATGGATTTTCTAAAAACACTTAGAGAAATAAAAGCGTTTCAATAATTACTTAGTTTAATGGATATATTGTCTTATATAGAGATTCTATTCTTTATTCATGGTACCATTTCTAAAAACACTTAGAGAAGAAATAAGAGCATTTCAAGAATCATTTAGTTTAATGGATATATCATCTTATATAGAGATTTTATTTGTTAGTCATGGCACCTGGTAAGTTCAACTGATGAATATAATACTCTTATTGACCAAGTTTGAGACTTTAAATTTTATATCCATTCTATCCTTTTAAAATGTATTTCATTAGTCACTTGTTGGCACTTTCATCAAGTTTGGCACATTTTGTTGATCTTTTAAAATAATCAGAATATCAGCTTAAAATAGAAATGATAGTCAAAGAATCGTTTTGCATTGGTAAAAAAATAAATTTATGTTCATATAGCCTACATTGAATAGAAACACAGTTTCCTTTTAAAAATGTAAACCAAACAATTTCACAAAATTTTGCTGAAAATTCCCCTCTGATATAACCAAAAAAGTCAGTAAAGTTTTGACTTGTGGAAGCCAAAAATTAAGCATTATTTTCTTAAATTAGTGACAAATATTTTCAGGGATTTTGATTTGAACAAAATTTGTCAACCATGTATTTGGCTCTGTATCTTTTCTTTAAATTTGGATTATGATCAATATTTAAACCATTCATTTACATAATAGAGAGTGTTTTGAACAGTGCTATTTTCAGAGAAATTTTCAAAATTTTACGTACATCTTGTAAGAGTTGTCCCCAGTTATTGGTGCTAAGTGTGTCTGGTTTCCATGATCCTTGAGCCATTTTCATCTTCTTAATACCTATAAATAGAAAACAAATAACGCCTTTTATGGCTTGCCGTTTGGGGCGTTGAACATATGTAAATAGTGTTCAGAAGTACTAAAACTGAAAAAAATTGCATAATTCCATCAAAAATACCTCAAACTAGAAATTTCTCATTTCAGTTGTTTTGTTCACAACCTTATCTGCTCTCTGTAAATTGGAGTACATCTGAAAGTTTTCTTGTTGATGTAGTCTCTGACACCCAGAAATCTTTCGTTGCAGTTGTGCATAGATGAAGTGGGACTTGATGATTGTGTCGTCTTTTTAACTTTCAAACACGAATATTCGTTCACAAGCTAATATCTCACTGTAAATTGGAGTACATGATCTGAAAGCTGTCTTGTTGATGTAGTCTCTGATACCCAGAAATCTTTCATTGCAGTTGTGCATAGACGATGTGGGACTTGATGATTGAGTCCTCTTTTTAACTTTCAAACACGATTATTCGTTCACAAGCTAATCTCTCTCCTAATTTTATGGCACCCGAAAGTTGCCTTGTTGATGTAGTCTCTGACACCCAGAAATCTTTCGTCGCAGTTGTGCGTAGATGAAGTGGGACTTGATGATTGAGTCGTCTTTTTAACTTTCAAACAAGCATATATGTTCACAAGCTAATCTCTCTCTGAGAATTGGAGTATCTGAAAGTTGCCTAGTTGATGTAGTCTCTGACGCCTGGAACTCTTTCATTCAAGCTGTGTGTAGAGGTAATCAATTTTTATGCTAATGATCATATAGTCTGTGCTATTTTTAGAAATCATCATTCTTCCCCCCTTTTTGGGTTTTTGCAAGCCTATTTTTGACTAATTTTAAGTCTAAATTTGGAATTTGATGTCTGAATTGCATTTTCTTTCAGTTATTGTGAGATGATGAGAGATTTCATGCGGAAGGACAATTATAAAAATAGTTGTTTTGTGTGCGGTGACAGTCAAGCAGATGTTGATAAAATGTAGTGATCTACTTTCATTTTGACTAGCTCAAGATATTCATGGTCATCATATATATGAATTATTAGAAACTTTTCAACGAGATTTCTGTTAAAAGTTATAGAAGGTTGAATTTCGAGATTTAACATGGCAACAGATGTCAAATGAATTACTAGGTTGGGTCCAGATAAAGTGGAACTTGATGATTGAGTCATCTTTTTAAACCGCTAAGCACAAATAATTATGAATACGCATTGATTTGAAGGCTCAAATTTCGACAATGAGCTGTGAACACTATTACTGATTATGTAAGCTAAAATAATTCCTGTTTCTGAAACTAAGGTATGATTTGTCGAATGGATAGTGAAGGTGCTCCTTGAAAACTCTGAATTGAAGATATATTTGGACATATATGTCTGGATAACCCCTAAATATGGGAAATTAATCCTCAAGTATTCATGCTATATATATTAAAATATTGTCTCTCATTTTTTTTTTAGCCCCAAGGGCACTCAAATGAGATTTGAAGTATATTTTACTGTCAGTTAAGTATTCCAGTTATACACCTACGTTCATTCTGAGTAGATATTAATATCCATCATTTATTATTTAAAGTATTCTCTTTATGGCACTTCTTGTAGGTCCCTGGGGCATTTTTAACCTACCAGGCAAAAAAGAGTTCTTTCCAGAAGGTTTGGTACATTCATAGTATTATGTTAAGAAAGGTCAAAGCAAGTCAATGGAAATTTTAAAAAAAGGAAATGAATACATTTTGAATACTTTTTTTTGGTCTTGTTGTAATAGTCAAAACGACTTATTTTTGTTATTTCTGCATTCATCAGCATGCCCAAGAATAATCAATTTGATCAAACAAAATATTGTCAAATGGTGTTTTAATTACGACAAAGTTTAGTTAACTATATGGTCTCTTATAACTTGTCATATTTGATAACCTTCATTTTGAAATGAATCCATTTAAAATCGTGCTTTCGGGAGCTTTTAAGAAATTAAATGAAATGTATAGATTTTTACGTCCTACTTTTCTGCACCTTCTGGGGTAATGAAGACGAACAACGCCATTCAGGGTGCAATGAGGGACATTTTGTCAGGACAGTGGCGTTAGCCTGCTCTTTTTCGATTTCCAGCTGTCGAGGGATCTTTAACATGTACAGCCTGTAGCACACGGGGCCTCGGTTTATTGTCCCATCCAAACGACTAGAAGCTTTTTCCATGTCAGCCCCTTTTACCTGCATCACTGACAGGGGGAAACCCGGTTAAAAATTTGGAAGGTATCATCTTGACCTATGCTGGGATTGAACCCTGGACTTTCAGGTTAGCTGGCAAGAGTCCAACTCACTGAGTCACCGCGGCCCCAGAAGCTTTTCAGAAATGGACAGATCAACAAACAAGACCCCTGGACATTCAGGTAAGCGAGCAAGCTTCTACCTCACTCAGCCACCTCGGCTCCGGAAGCTTTTAATGGATGGATCAACAAACAAGACCCATGTGCATCACTCGGTTGGCTTTTGAAAGCATTAGACATTTTGATGGAAAATAGCGTCGGAAATATAGCACTGCAGTTCTGACACTATTTCTTTGAGAGTAAGGCACACTGTATTGTGTTTGTAGTTTTCATAATCCATTTCATCTTGTTATCAAAAGAAAATTTGCTTAAGAACTCATAGGAGAATTTCATGCAATTGCTAGTGTCTGGAATAAGTTCTCCATGGATTGAATTATTGAAAACTTCTTTCAATTTCCAAGTTCTTCAGACATGCCAGTCACATTATTGATAAATTCAAAATCTTAAATACAATTAACTGCAATCATATGCCATTTTCAATTTCAATGTCTTCATGTGCAAATTCATGTTATCCCAAACTTTTTTTTATCATCTTAAAAATCATTTGAAAATAAACTTCAGCAAGTATTTTCTGCTGACTGACTCTCTTTAACATTCCATTATCCTTGAAACTAAAAACTAGACCAAATTTTCAATCCATCATTTTGTTTTCTTCAGTAAGGGTCCAAATATGGCCTTCTTGAATATTCGTGAGTTTGATGAAATCGCCAGCCAATCAAATCCCTGCCCTTTCCAACACTAGAATTTTGCTTTCTTGAGAAGCATTAGAATCTTTTGTTAGTGTCACAAAATCCCAGCCCTGGAGAGGGCTAGAATTTGATTGGCTGGAGGTATTATCAAACTGATGAACATTCAATAAGGCTGTCTTTAGACCCCAACTGAAGAGGCAATATCAAAAATAATATAAGGAACTCGGGTATTACAAAATAATATAATGTTCTTCAAAACAGGATTTAGTGCTCTGGTGATTATATTCAATACATATTTATAAAAATGTAAGCTGTAAAACTCTCTGTTAAAACTCTCTGTTAAAAGCCTCTGTTAAAAGCGTCTCTGTGTAATTGGCTTGTAGAAGACATTGGAAAAAGTGTGTGTATGGGACAATAAACCTGGGCCTTTTGTATTACAAGTGATGCCTATGCTAAAAATCAAAAAGAGTGTAGGCAAATGCCACTGTCCTGGCAAAATTTCCTTTATTGTGTACTGCATGACATGGTGTGTCTATACCAAATGAGGTTCAGAAAGGAAGATAAAAACCCCCTTTTCAACTGTCTAGACTTTAGAAAGTTCCCATGCATGACATAATGACTTACATTTATTTATAGTAACAAGAGAAAATAGGTCCATAGTAGAAATATTTGACACAATTACTATTAATAGAAGCAACATAATAAGGTTTTTGTATCGTTCAAAGTTTTTGTTTTTTTAAGTCAAAAACAAGGACACGCTTAAATGCAATTTTTTGTAATGACAAATTAGATCAATTATGCGCCTTTATTATTAGGACTTTACAGTCTTTTTCAATCTGCCCTATTCATGCTAATTGACATTCCAGGGGTGCTGAATTTTTTCTAAAGGGAGGGTGTTAGTTCAGTTGAAAAATTCTTCAATTGACACCAATAAATGTCATCTGAAATAGACTATAACGTATGAAATCGGAGACAAACTTCATACGAAATTTGAGGAAAATAATCCTTCTGATAAACATGCAGTAAAAAGGTAGACAACTGTATGGGCCATGTGCCTATGCAAAATATTTCATTCTAAAAAAAAAGGGTGGGGAGCATTTAAAAGTGCAGGGGCTTCAATTAGAATGAATATAGAGTTTACTTATTACACACCTATATAAGAAGTAAGGAAGAAAAGAAAAGAAACATGTTAAGTTCTTTGGAATCTTTCTACCAGCTGGTCCTTTGTCAAACCTTTTGGCATTGTGACCTTTCACTAATGCCGCTGTCCTGGAAAAATTTCCCTCATTGCACCCTGCATGGCGTTGCCCGTCTTCATTAGCCCACATGGTGCAGAAAAGTAGGACGTAAAACTCCATTCATTTCATTTCATTTCCAGATTATCCATTCTAGTACCCATTTATAGCTGGGTTGACTTAACTTATTCCATGTCATTGAGCTTTCACACACCAAACGAGAATAGAATCTACAAATGATAGTTGTTCAATGTAGCTAAGTATGTGCATCAGTTCATTCTGTGCCATTTTGTTGGAGTGCTGAGTAGTCTTTTATAATTTATTCATTTATTACCCACCTATTTATAAAATAGTATTTATTATTAACCAAAAGAGAATGTTCACCCGTATGGAACACCTGATGTTACTTGCCTTCATGCTAGTTGCTGCTCCATTGGTAGTTCGAACATCTGCCTCTAATCCAGCCTCTGATGGATATTTTGACAGTTGTCAGCTGGAGTAGAGTCAGAAAAAAAAAGACCCTGTTAAATGGGGATTTTCCACATCTCCAAAGATGCGTTTTCTCTAACTTGATATTGAATTAATTTAAGATGATTGTATATTAGTGTTGGGCATCATTGTAACTTTTGTTTTGTTAGTATCACGTGACTCTGTGATCTTTTGGCTGTGCACGCAGTTTTAAATGGCTGATGCAAGATCAGTTTCGCCAAGAAAAACTTTGATGGAAGCAGAGACAAGACATAAATGGTGTAGGGAGAAAATGATGGTATGACTGAACTGCAAAAATATTCATCTTTGCAGTTATATATAAATGTTCCCATTTAACAGGGCCTATTTTTTGTCTGTCTCTACACCAGCTGACATCTGTCCAATTAGCCATCAGAGGCTGGAATAGAAACAGATGTTTAGGTCTACTCCATTGGGTGTACAGAGACGCTATGCCCCCCTGCCCCTGAACTGTACCCTATTTAATTGTTAGATTCAACAAAATAATAATGTTCGCTTTTGGCCAAAAATATGTGTCAAAACGCACAAAATCAATTCATTTTTCATAAATGTTTCGTAGGGAGACCATCTCAAACGTCCCTGCTCTTCCACAGAGTTGCCCAATTTAAAATCTTGAACTTGACGGTCTTTCTACCATTTAAGTCAGTCTGCCCCCTATTGCACTCCCAACCCCCACGAGCTTCATATGAATTTTAGCCAAACAAACTTGCAAGTCTGTGTTTATATTTACAAAACAAAAGCTAAAAAATACAAGTTGAAGCATGTTGATTGACTGGTTTGAATTTCAAATGACATCGAGAATACCTATTATTAAGAGGTTTATGTAAAAGGCCACAGTGTAGAAATGATATGTATTTAGTTTCAGACAAGTTGAAATGATGATGATAATGATGATGATGATGACATTTTAATATCTGTCATATCTGTTTAAAGATGGGTTTCCTTATTTTTTAGTGTCATATTAAGCAAACTATTTGATTAATTGGTGTTTCTAATGAATTATCATGTATTCTTAATCATATCATTATGTTCTTATTGCATATAATTAAGAGTTTTAACCAATCATAAATGTCCATGTATGTACAGTCTGGATAAACAAAAAAAGACTTTTTGACCTTTCTTGATCTTACACTCGTTGAAATTCTGCAGGTAATTCTCTTCTAATTTAGCCAATGGAGTTTTACATCCTGCTTGTCTGCACCAATTGGGCTAATGAAGAAGGGCAACACCATGTAAGGTGCAACGAGGGAAATTTTGCCAGGACAGCGGCATTAGCCTGCCCTTTTTTGATTGCCAACTGTAGCTGGATCTTTAACGCCTGTAACACATGGGGCCTCGGTTTATTGTCCCCTCCAAACGACTAGACGTTTTTTCAATGTCAGTCCCTCTTACCTGCATCACTGACAGGGAGGGGGGAAACTGGATTGAAAAATCTGAAGGTATCATCTCGACCTATGATTAAACCCTGGACCTTCAGGTAAGTGAGCAAGCATCTAACTCACTGAGCCATCGCGGCTCCCCATTAAAGACAAATGCGACCACAAATTTCAGCACAAAGTGCCTGTAGACACTTTTTACAAGCCAAATTGTTACTGGATTTAGAAACTTTTTTCTGGACACCCAAAATAACTTAAAAATTTAACTTACCAAAATGAATTTTTAAATAAGCTACTGTAAGTCTCAGAATACTTGATTTATCTAGTTTCTTTTGACAGGAAGCTATAATAGGTACCTCTTTAGCTAGTTCTTGTATCAAAAAGTTCAACTTATCTCGGCGTATTTTTTCACAGACATTGCGTGACAACCTGAAATAAAAAAACATTTCTATGTAAATAAAAGCTTCTATTACGGAAATAAACAATTTCACCCTCTTTCATCAAAGTCTGTTTGGAATTGTGCCTTTTTAAAGCGTTTTTGAGCAATTATGGATGAATTTAGGGAATGAAAAAACGGATATGGGTGGCAAAAAATTTCATGTGAGCTCACAAAAATCATGTTCCGGATTTGAAATTTATTTTTTTAAAAATCTGAAACAAATTTTCCTGCTATGATTATTTTTTGAGCATATTCATAACCATCCCAGACTACATACAAATTACTATATATTTCACATGGCAGAAGATAGCTTGCAAGGGAAGGTAATATACTCCCACTGGCAGCTTTGATTTTGAATAAAAATATTTTGTAGTGCAGTAACAATCACCAGTATGAAATATTCAACTTTCAGTCAGACACTTTTTTTGGGTGATACTGAATAATAATACCAAAATCCGTCATTTTCAACAACAAGGGCAATAACTCATACTAAATATTTTCCCTCATTGCATACCACACGGAAAGTCAGTTTTCATTTTAAAGATAAGAAAAGTAAGCTGTAGAAAACTGATTTTTTAGAAAGAAAGGTCATAAAACGTGAACACCTGAAGCCCAGACTGTTTTTTAATTAAGATTATCTAAATAATGTTCTTTAAAAAACACAAAAACATTCTGAAAATTTCTTATTATTCTTAAGAATGCATTTAAATGGAAGGTTTAATAAGCTTGAAGGAAATAGCATTTCAGACAATAAAGACTGTTACACTCAAGGTTTTTAAGAAGCTTAAAATATTTTTTCCAGATATTTCTATAAAGACCTAGTAGATCTATTGTTCATTGTTAATACAGAACATCTGCTTCTTATTTTTTTTCCCAATGATTTTATGTACTTTTACAATTTGAAGTATATTTAATTTTTTCAATGCTTAATAGCTTAAAGCCCAACGCAGACGAGGAACATTTTAAGCGAACAATCGTAAAAATTTTGTTTCGATCATTTTTTTCACCGTCTGCGGATTACAGAAATACGAACAAAAATGCTCCTATTTCACCGTCTACGTTGGCGTCTTTTTTTAAATCAATAAAATAGCTAACGCAATTTTACATAATCTTCTGGACGTCGCCATTTTGAGGTCATGTGATTTTCCGTGACACTGGCGTGTTGTTCGAGCTAAATGTTCGTTGTCTGCGGAATTATGTTTGTCGTCTGCGGATAACGGATAACAAATATATTTGTTCGATGTTCTTGTTCGTCGACAGAAATGTTCCTCGTCTGCGTTGGGCTTAAGATAGATACAAAAAATATATACAAAATAGTTATTTTTGTTTTAAAGGAAAACCTTCACTATCCGTTCAACCAATCATACCTTAGTTTCAGAAACAGGAATTTTTTTAGTTTACATAATGAATAATATTGTTCACAGCTCATGGTTCAAATGTGAGCCTTCTGTCTACTGGAAGGGGTCGCAGCATGTGATTTCTGTCTAGTGGAAGGGGGTCACAGTGAGTGATTTTCTGTCTAGTGGAAGGGGGTCACAGCAAATGATTTTCTGTCTAGTGGAAGGGGGTCACAGCAAGTGATTTTCTGTCCACTGGAAGGGGGTAACAGCGAGTGATTTTCTGTCTAGTGGAAGGGGGTCACAGTGAGTGATTTCCGTCTAGTGGAAGGGGGTCACAGCAAGTGATTTTCTGTCTATTAGAAGCGGGTCGCAGCATGTGATTTCTGTCTAGTGGAATGGGGTCACAGTGAGTGATTTTCTGTCTAGTGGAAGGGGGTCACAGCAAATGATTTTCTGTCTAGTGGAAGGGGGTCACAGCAAGTGATTTTCTGTCTAGTGGAAGGGGGTAACAGCGAGTGATTTTCTGTCTAGTGGAAGGGGGTCACAGTGAGTGATTTTCTGTCTAGTGGAAGGGGGTCACAGTGAGTGATTTTCTGTCTAGTGGAAGGGGGTCACAGCAAGTGATTTTCTGTCTAGTGGAAAGGGGTAGCAGCGAGTGATTTTCTGTCTAGTGGAAGGGGGCCGCAGCGAGTGATTTTCTGTCTAGTGGAAGGGGGCCGCAGCGAGTGATTTTCTGTCTAGTGGAAGGGGGATCTGCTAGAAACAAATTTATGTATCTTCAGACAACTGAAAATCGCAAAGCGTGAAATTCTGAATAACAACAAAATGTTTTTTTAAGGTTCTGTTTTAATATTTCTATTTTGATATTAAAATATATCAATATATAATTGCGTAGCCCTCAGGAAATATAAAATCCCTGCTATATTCTTGTAACAAAATGAGTGATGACAAATGGTAGGGAAGTAATAAGTCTGAATTGCAGGAAATCCTGTTGTTATATCAAGGAAGCAGTTATTTGGAACAATAAGATATGATCAGATGACACATTTTATGAGTTTGTTCCACGTTAATGAAAAGACACAGAATGAGAATGAGTCAAACACTGGGAATTCCAATAAATTACTCACAAGTCATTCTCATTAGATTTGGACATCCAGTCTCACATGATAATTTAGAACTGATCTTGACAGCTACAGTGGAGTTTTTACATCGGAAAAATTTCAATATCAACTCATAACTCAGTTGTATGAAGGTCGTGTTCGAAACTTATTCGCAGCCATACGCAACTGGTGATCACTATGGTATAAGGGTCCCTTAATCAGCCCATTAATAGAGACACCACTGCAGAGCTATAATTAGTGACAATGGCAGCAGACATTAAAATCCAGAGCTTTGAGTACGAGGAGAGTGTCCATAATCCAACATTTACACACAAATATAATTAGTAGTTCATTTCTATAAATTTTTGGGCCATGCCCCCCTCCTGCCCTACCGTATCTAATGCCCTAAACTGCAAAGGTATGTAAGGGTGCTTGAATGACCTCTTAGTCAATAAAATCCTCGCTTCTTCACTGGCAATAAATGTAATAAATTAACATCCTACCTTTCTGCATCCAATTGGGCTAAAAGACAGGCAACACCTGGCAGTGTGTAATGAGGGAAATATTGCTAGGACAAGCACTGGACCTTGGCTTGTAGACAATAAAATTAGTTTTAATGCAATCTAACCTAGGTTGTATAAATTTACATAACATTTGCATTAAAAGACAATAAATCAACATAAATAATGTAATATGTGTCACTTTATGACCTGTTTAGAATATTTTGATCATAATTTAGCTAACAATAGACGTCTCTTGACCCATATATGAGTAATTGAAATTTTGTCTCCCAGCATTGAATTTCGTTCTCCAGATTTAGAAAAAAAATTTCCTCTATTTTTTTGACCACATTTTCAATTGATGGTTATGCCCTTTTTCACTTTTCCACAGTTGGAAATCGAAAAAGAGCAGGCATTTGCCGCTGTCCTGGCAAAATTTCCTTCATTGCACCCTGCATGGCGTTGCCCGTCTTTATTAGCCCAATTAGTTGCAGAAAAGTAGGATGTAAAACTCCATTCATTTTATATAATATATTCATATCCTTATACAAGACCACATATATCTATTCCCCTGTAAACAATAGTAGCCAAGCATATCATCGAAAATCATTAAAGGGGAGTTGTTTTCTATATTTTCTATGCGTATCAGGGACACTGATGGCATCAATTTGCACTATTCCAATTTTCAATCAGACATTTGTGGTTCCTGCAATTCCACTAAAACTAAGTGTTTGATGACAACAATAATTGAAAAATATGCTTTATCACATAAGAAGATTAGTGAAAAACTAATTTTTAGTGGAATTGCAGGAACTTCAGATGTCTAATTGATAATTGGAATGGTGCAAATTGATGCTATCAGTGTCCCCGATACACATAAAAAAATTCAGAAAACCTCTTTACAATACCTTTAAGGTTAAGCAATAACAATATTTATCAATGTCTCTAGATAATGAATATTGAACCATTATTGACAATACTAGGTCAGTTAACACAATTAGGTCAAAGGGAAGAAATTAGGTCAATAGACAATACATGACTATAAAAGTAACATACAGCATATCTAGGGCACAAATGTCAATATTCTCCCCCCTACACCCTCTAGGTATAAGCCATCAAAGATAAATTAGAAACATGATGCCAAAGGGAAATTTTCTAGTAGATTCTTTCACTTTGGCTAATTAGGTGAAATTTAGCCAAGAGGAACAAATAAAAATAGTGAAGCCTTAAAGATGGGTTTCCTTGTTTTTTAGTGTCAAATTAAGCAAATTGGTGTTTCTAATGAATTATCATGTATTCTTAATCATATCATTATGTTCTTATTGCAAATAAATAACCAAGTTTAACCAAGCATAAATGTCCATGTATGTACAGTCTGGATAAACAAAAAAATACTTTTTGACCTTTCTTGATCATTTACTTAATAATGGACATGTGAGACAAACTGGTATTTTTTCAAGTCATTAGAACACCTTTACTTTCTATTCATATAAGTATTAGCATTTTCATTTTCATAAATGAAAAAAATGGAACATATCTTTAAGGAGAAAATATTATATTTTTCAAAATTTTGCATGTTGATTCTAAGGGTAGTATACCTTTAACTATGCATGTCTTTGATGTTCTGCAAAAACATGGGACAGAAATTAATATTTTTGCTAGAGAATTTCTTAAGCTGCGGACAGACTGGGCGAATTTTGAGCTAGATGCAGACCCTGAATTTTCATCTTCTGTCTCACTAACAAGATACGTGAGTGTGCAATATCAGTTTAAGCAAGAAGAGGACCCTAAAATTGCCATCTTCTGTCTCACCAACAATATACTTGAGCCTGCAATATCAGTTTAAGCACAAAGGGGACCCTAAAATTATCATCTTCTGTCTCACCAACAATATACTTGAGCCTGCAATATCAGTTTAAGCACAAAGGGGACCCTAAAATTATCATCTTCTGTCTCACCAACAATATACTTGAGCCTGCAATATCAGTTTAAGCACAAAGGGGACCCTAAAATTGCCATCTTCTGTCTCACCAACAAGATACTTGAGCACACCACAATGAGTATCTGAAACACATCTTCACACCTGTTCATCAGCTATGTTTTATCATCGCTAGATGGTGTTTCAGAAATCTGTCATCTGTGATGGTCAATTTTTGTCAAGGGCTTAATCCTATCTTCATTGACCAGTCGAACTTCTTAAGGCAGTCAAAGAGTACCAGATGTATTAAAAGTCCAAAAGATAGGTAGGTAGGATTGGTTCAAATTGGATGATACTGTGTTGTTGGTTTGGTTGTTGATTCTTTGTTAGATCTGGTCGGGTCGAATGACATGGTTGAAGAGTCCAAAAGATAGGTAGGTAGATGACAAGTTATCGTTCGCTTCCACCGGATGCTGATAACGCAAACTAGGTAGGTGTTGGTAGTCGTAGTAGTTGGTAGTTGGATTGGATCAAATTGGATGATTCTGTGTTGTTGGTTTGGTTGTTGATTCTTCGTTAGATCTGGTCGGGTCGAATGACATGGTTGAAGAGTCCAAAAGATAGGCTATGCCTTATATAGCATACACAGCAAGGTGATATAGATTACCATATAATTATTAGATCTTCCCCAAGCAAAGTAGCCATAAATTTAGACGAATGCATCACTTGAAAAGGCAACAAGGAATGTCTTGAAAATTATATTATATAATAATAAATGTTGAATGTAATGTATAGCCCACAATCACCTATAACCTATTAATATTTTCATAAATAACCATTAAGGATTGAATGTGAATCCCACAATAAAATATTGCCACATAGTCTTTTATCCCAGTGTTCAATAAGATATGAGTTTTTGCTTGTATTGTGCAGTTAACCTTGCTTTTTCCATTAGTATCAGTCAGGGGTACATCTAGAAAATGTCGGGGGGGAGGGAGCAAAAATAGGAGATATCTCTATGAGGTAAAGCCCCTTGAATGTCAGAGTTCTGGGAGTTGCCAGAGGCTCCTAGAGGTACCCAGAGGGCAACAGATTTCAGATAAGGAAGAGAGAGGGGGAGAGAGAGAGAGAGAGAGAGAGAGAGAGAGAGAGAGAGAGAGAGGGGGGGGAGGGGCTTCCCCCACCCCCTAAATACATCACTGGTACTAATAGGGTATTACTTGTTTTCTAAAAATACCTATTCATCATTCTAAAAAATTCCTATTTTAAAAACTTTAGCTTTATTTTCAACTTTCATTGCAAATATGAGATAAGTATTTCTAAATATAGCCTGTCAATTTTAGATGCATAAAGCCTACTTACTTTTTGGATAAGTTGGTCTCATTTCTGGAGTACCCAGGCATGAGGGACACTGTAGATGATGGTTCTTGACCACAATTTTGGTGGGCCATGACACTAACTTATCCTTCTGTCAGACGACACCGACTTGTTTAGTTCACAAAATTAGGTCAGAAAATTTAACCTGACCCATATATCAGTCCCAAAAAAATCAAATCACGTGGGTCAAGTGTCATAAACTGAGTCTAATCTTTGAATTCATAACATAAAACAGTTCAGTTATAGCTGTCCAAAAATGGTACCAATCGTAAACCCACTTCAGTAAACAATTCCACACTATAATATTCAGAAGCCTATGAACACAATGACGATGTAGAGTATATGAACTATTTGTTCTATATTCCTTTTATATACTATTTTCATTTCACAATTTTATCAATGTGATAATGTCACACTAATGTCAATGACATGTCATTATCAATAAGATCTTATCTGTATCATATATACACGTATACAGAGTTAGAGAAAGAAACATAAATAAACGCAAATAACATGACGTACAGTCAGTGCCTAATCGTCGTATCGTTAATTGTAATTTATGTCATGCGCATGAAAAGAATTGTGTCATATAATACCTGTCAAGGCCAGGTTATCATTAATCCTAACGGTACAATTCTTCAAAACAAGAAATATTAATATTATAGTGTGGGTGTGTAGATTTTTTGTTATGGCCTGGACATTTGCTATTGAAGTTTATACAAGAAACTCGTTATATAAGGCTTAGGGAATCTATATTTTAATATTTTCCGAAACAGACGTCATACCCCTTCAGGTAGCAGTAAGGAGGACATAAGTTATATTAAAGCCACATACATAGCATAGTAGCCTATACATAAGTTATTTTGGGTTCGAAGGCGTATCGGGGCTTCAAAATCGTTAATATCAATATCATTTTTCTTATTACCCCGACCTATGCTTTCGTAATTTCGATTAGAGATTGATTTTACAATAATTTTCATATAATTATAATAACGGTTTTCTTAATGAAAGACAGAACTGGGTTCAAAGCTTTAGTCTTCAATTCTAAAAATAATAACTTCGGATTTTTCAACCCGGTTCCCCCTGTCAGTGATGCAGGTAGGCCTAAAAGCTGCTGACATGGAAAAAGCGTCTAGTCATTCGGATGGGACAATAAACCGAGGCCCCGTGTGCTACAAGCTGTACACGTTTTCTTAAACAGTTGGAAATCGAAAAAGAGCAGGCTAATGCCGCTGTCCTGGCAAAATTTCCCTCACTGCATCGTGCATGGCGTTGCCCGTCTTCATTAGCCCACATGGTGTAGAAAAGTAGGACGTAAAACTCCACTCATTTAATTTAATTTAATTATAAAAGGTGTAACGGTAGTCTAGACATATAAATAGAACACATATATCGATATAAAGCGTATTTAATTATTATATATTTTATTGATTAAAATCTTTGCTGTTGCTTATAATACTGATTCATAAAGCATTGGATCTTTGTTCAGTTCCAAAATTGGTATAGGAGAACCTCTCTCGTGTAAGAAATAAATCGTGAAGTGTTCAGGATGTTTTCTATGAGCGGAAAAAAGATGATGTAAACGCTATAAAACTTCAATAAGAAACGATGTGGTAATGTGGCGCTAATTGGACTTCACTAAAAAAAATTGAAAAATGTGGTTAAGAAGATTTTGTGGAATTTCAACGGGCAACGCCATGCAGGGAGGGAACTTTTGCCAGAACAGCGGTATTAGCTTGCTTTCTTTTCATTTTATGTGTCTTTTTTTGGTAAACCAGGCACTAAGTATTGGCATGATTGTAGAAGCCAACCTCACGAGACTAAGGGTAAAAATAGAGGGTAAACCGACATAATGTGGGTACATCTGTCGTAGTTAAAGTTAACAATACAGCAGCTCGGTGTAAGCACACATACCCAAACCTTCCATGGACAATCTGAGAGGGTTCTCCCCCAAGAATTTTTTGAAAAATATCATTGATAAAAGGGACAGGTGTGCCATTTTGGGGGTTGACTTTAGAAATTAGTATTTTTTATGTAAATAGTCTTCAGAAGTAATAGAAATGTACGAAAATCGATAATACCTTTAAAAATACTTCAAACAAGGAGTTTTATTCATTATTTCTACACAGAGTATCTTACGTTAACGAGTCGTCATTTTAAGATTCAAATGCAGATAATTCTGGACACACATGGATTTGAAGGCTCAAATTTTGACGATGAGCTGTGAACACTATTACTGATTGGCTAAGCTAAAATATTCCAGTTTCTGAGACTAAAGTATGATTGGTAAAAAAAAAATGGCCTACCTGTCCCTTTAAGCAGTGGCGTTTTTACGGGGAAAAGAGGATGGATCGGCTTTGACCTTCCCATCTATTTGAAATGCGAAGAAAACTGAAAAAATAAAGCCTACATTTCCGAGCTAAATGAAAGTCTTTGACAGTTTTATCCAAAGTAACATAATTTGAATAAGTTTGAGTTGATGATACTCCTCCAATTACCATTACATTTGATTAATATCTGTGACTCAAATTTGGCTGTATTCACTAGCGTATCATCCAATTTAAGCACACCATTTACAAACTTCCGTGATATCAGAACAGTGGTTATTGTAGTCAAGATATGAGACGAAGTTTGTAATAGCTTGACCATTGTGAAGAAATTCCGGCAATTACGTTCACTCTGATGACAATAGTTTTTGTTGCAAATTTATTTAGAAATATTCTTCCCATTCCGAATAATTGTCGGTATTTAAAGTGATACTACGTCTTAGAATGAACATAAAATTTAATTTCTCGAAATGGTCAATATGAGTATATATTCATCAGTGAAATTACCTGGTGTCATAAAGTTACAACAGAATCACTGTAAAATCTGGAAAATTGGAAAATTCATAAAACTATGTAATTATTGAAGAACGCTTAATCTTGACATTAAGCGTTTTTCAATAGTTAATTAAATATTTATGGATAATTACTAAGTTTTTTTGATTTATCGGATTATATAAGGCTCCTGTTATGTTATTTATGACACCAAGTATATCTACTGGCTCTTATTCGCCAAGTTTAGAATTCTTGAATGTTATGTCTATTCTAAGACGTAGTACTCCTTTAATATACACCGTAGTATTAATGAGGTTTTTAATGCATAAAACAGAATAATAAGGACGTTTAGGAATCTTTCTGGAATGGTTAGTGAAAGAATCATGAATAATAACGGGATATCCTGTTAACTCCTCTGTAAATGGCAAGAGAGAAGTAGAAGGATATTATCCACTAATCCATCGATAACAAAATAAAAGTCGTATAATTGCAGTTCCATTTACAGGGCAGCTTACAAAATAACAGTAAAGACTGTTGTTTTTGTGGGTTGAGCAGAAGACATAATATTTTGGCTTTCATTTTGATAAGATTGGTAGATTAGTTTTCCAACGCCAACGAAAAAAAAAACATAGCGACGTTTAAAGGTTTACGTAAACCTTTTAACTAGTTTTGAATTTTTTAAATTTAGGGCAGCATACCCTGAGTTAAATCTTTCAGATAGGTTAAGGAACACATTTCTCAAGATTGTGGTGTATAGTTTTCATAAATTTGAGGAAAATATAAGGAAACGCATCTTAAATTTAAAAAAAAATCACACTACCATTTTAAAATCAATGACGTAACAGCAGATTGGCTGATAGAACAAAATAATAATCGAAAACATTATTATGTCCAATAGATTCAAGGTTAGATATTTATTTTTTAAATATAAGCATCGACGTAATCCATGCCAAGTTATCACCTATTATCTCGCTCATCCCACGTATAAAATAAGATAAAACCTAATTGATTTTTAGTGCAAGGTGAACTAGTGGTTTTATACAGTTTATTGAGCTGTTTTCAAGGACATCTTCAATGTAAGAGTAATATTAGATTTTTAAAGGCGATGGTTGGCCATTTTTAGGGTTGATTTAAGTCTTGAATATTATGTAAATAGTCTTCAGAAATACTAGAATTGCATGAAAAACGTATAATCCCTTCAAATATACATCAAACTATAAAGTTCACTTTCTTTTTGTATACAGTTTTTGTTTCAAACGCGGTTAATTCTGGACACACATGGATTTGAAGGCTCAAATTCCGACTGTGAGCTGTGAACACTATTACTGATTAGCTTAAATAATAAATTCAGGTTTCTAAGACTAGGGTACGATTGGTCAAACGAATGGCGCACTTGTCTCTTTTAATTTTTTTTAGACAATGTCCAGATATTTAGCATTGGCGATGATGAAATTTTTTAATAATTTTCTTGAAAATCGGTTGAAAATGTAATAATTACAACCTAGAAAACCATTATTTTTTTATGTCGTTAAAATTCCGAGAACAGAAAATAAATTCGGAAAGGTCGTGGTTATTCAAGGGATTATCCTAGGCATAGAAATTTTTTTGAATTACCTACACGTCCATGTATATTGCGTGATAACTTTCATTTAACGTCTCAGATCTTCTTTCATGACATTATTCTGTTTGAAGTTCAATAAGGTTCTTATGTTTGTTTTTCTCCGATTTCAGAACAAATTAATTACGCAGTTGAAGAGAACACGGAAGATTTTCGTCCTTGGGCTTCAGTAAGGAAATTGGAACGAGTTGGAAGTATGCCACATCAAAAAATTTCCTGAGTTTTTTAAAACACGTCGTAAACAAACATCGTCAAAATTGAAATATGGAACTATCAGTAAAGAGAATTTACTTAGTGCACCATGGAAAGTGATTCTAGTTGATCTTTCAGTTATTGAGCTTTTCTGCTTCCTTGTGCATCTGCACACACGCACACCAACCCACCCTCACCCACACTCATCCTCACACGCTAGAGAAAGAGAGAGACAGGCAGACAGGGGGTGAGACAGAGACAGAGAGACTGAAACAGAGAGACACAAAAACATCAGAGCTATAGATGGCCGTGCTTTTCTGCACCTGATTGGTCAAAAAGAAAGATGGGAAACGCCATCTAGTGTGCAACGAGAGAAATTTTGAATTAGCCTTTCCAACTGTAGACAAATCTTCGGCGTTCTCTGGGGGCCTTGTCACATCCGCAC